TTGACACTTAATATCTTTAATTTTGTATGTACTACCTCTGTTATATATTATTTGCAATAATTAGTCAAATCGTTGCAAATAATATATGACGGAGGTAATATTACTTTAAATTCTAATAATAATTTAATACGTAGTATTATAAAAACATACATTCCCTCAAGTCAAATTAGTATGTGGGTAATGTAAAGGTCAAATTGATGTATTAATTATTTGACTTACTCTCTCCATTCCTTATTGATAATACCCCATGGGCAATTTTCACGAGAATTAATAAACATAAATAAAAGTAGTAAAAGTACATTGAAAAGGTAAATTTACATTAGATATGCAAAAAAGTAGAGAGAAAAAAATAATAAAAGTGTATGAAAAAGTAAAATTTACATGAAAAAGTTAAATTTTTACAGATACTGTTGTAAATTGGAGGAAATTTTGATAAAAAAATTGGTATTAATGGTAAAACAAATGGTACATTATATTCAATAAGGACGGAGGGAATAAATAAGAATTAGGGATGGAGGACTGGAGGGAGTAAATAAGAAGAGTGAAGGAAAATAAATGCCTTAGGAGTTAGGACTCCTAGGAGGTTGTTTTGCCCCATAACATTATTTTTGGAACTATGAAGTGTTTGGTTGAAATTGATTTTTTAACAAGTTCATGAGTGCATTGCTTTGATTAATACTTATCAAAACTTAATTAACCCGTATTATCTTTAATAATCCATTATAAAAAATTATACGAGTATAAAGTAACTAACTAACTAAGCTTTTGAAACAAAAAAAAAAAAAAAAAAAAAAAAAAAAAAAAAAAAAAAAAACCGTACTCCATATAAAGTTACTTACAAATCCGTAAGAGTTACTTCATTTGCATTTAGTCAAGATTAGCGTACTTTCACATCTTTATAATAAATGTAACCTTTAATGTTCCAAAAAACATGCTCTTTAAATTCCTAGATCTTTCATTCTCTCTACGTACGGTTAATATAAGAAGTATATCAACCAAACTAGCAATAAATATGGGTAAAAATATTTCAAGACAGCATTTACTATGATAAAAAACAAGTTTACCTATCTACAAAAATAAATTTACACTTGCTTGTTCATTCACATTCCTCTAAGAAAAGTAACTTACACTTGTTCAAAAAAAGTTGCAAAAAAAAAAAAAAAAAAAAAAACAAAAAAAACATGGATGGTTCAAGCAGTAAATCCACGAAGAAGAAGGGGAGTGCACAAGGAGAAAGTGAGAAGAAGATGAAGATTACAGTAATGAAGGAAAACACCAAAAATATTTCTTACAACATTAAGAGAGATTTTGCATTAGAAAGGTTAATGTTTGATTATTGTCAAAATTTAGGTGTTGATTATAAGGGCTTTAAGTTTACTTATCTTGGTAAGCAAATTTCTGATTTTGATACTCCTAATCTCCTTCAAATGGAAGATGAAGATGTTATTGATTGTTGGGCTGATCAAATTGGTGGTCATTAACTTTTTTAATTAGTAAGACTTAACCTTCATTAAGCAATTAATTGCTTTGTTAGTTTCTTAATTTGTGTTTTCTTCGTAAAGTGTTCTTGTTTTCTAGGCGTTGTAACGAATTGGGTGTTGTTAAATATCGTCCTAAAATCACCCTTGTGTTTTCTGTTTTTGTTGGTGTTTTTAGTTGTTGCTTTGAATTGATTGTACTCGTACTAGTTTAATTTTGAATTGTTTTTCTTATTATGAGTTTAGTAACGTTTTGGCTGTTTTTCCTTTGAGCACTATATGTTCCAAATGCTAGATCCATTTAACAAGATCTTAACTGCTAGAGGATAAATTATCTAATGGGATTATAGTTAATTCATATTGTTATACATTTTCAATATATCAGCTTTTTATACTCTTTTATTTTATAATAATCGAAATATTTTGATTAACATATAAGCCTATGTATAACTTTGACTGCCATTCAAAAAAATAAAATAAAAATGTATAACTTTGACTATTACGAGTAATTTTTTTAAATAATAAGGAGTATTATAAAAAATTTAAAGATTACCTAAAATAAAATATTTGGATTATATTTCCTAATTTTTAGCTATAATGTTCTACTATAAGATATTCTAATTTTCATAAATTTCATTCTTTCTTTACTTTAATAAATACGATGAGTCAAATCATACGTGGTACCAATAAATAACTGTCATGAAACTTGTGACAATATATTTTGTCACAACTTGCAACCTTTAGTATCACCCTTTCTAAATTAATCCCATTTACAATCTTTCAAATAAAAAACTTCATTTACATACTCCACTTAAAATATAAAAAATTTATTCAATTTTTAATATCCAAATAATAATAATAAAAAGAATAAATAACAAAGTCTAAAGGCCCAATCATCACAAAATGACAAAATTCACAATTCAAAACCCTACTACAGTAATAGTTCCCTTAACCTATCTATATATAAAATGGTAGCATAGGCAAAACAACGAAACCCCTATACTAAAAATTTCAAATCTTCAAAATACGTAGTATTAGATTTTTGCATACTTTGAATGGAAGGATCATTCAGCCCTACACCGGGCGACGGCAGCGGGAGAAAGTCCGGAGGAAAAGAAAATGATGGTAAAACAGTCAAGATTACAATACAAATGCAAAACACCAAGGATGTTACTTTTAAAATTAAGCGTAACGCTCCACTAGGAAAGCTTATGCTTAATTATTGCCTTGAATTGGGTTTGAACTACAAGGCCTTTAAGTTCACTTATTTGGGTAAGCAAGTCAAAGATTGTGAAACCCCTCTCGATCTTCAAATGGAAGGTGAGGATGTTATTGATTGTTGGTCTGATCAATCAGGTGGTTGTGGTTGTGGTCGTGGTCGTGGTCATGCAATGTGATTACTTCAACTTATTGGTGTTCCGTTGTTAAGGGTAGTTTATTTCTTAGTGTTAATCTAATGAATTTACAACCGTTGTATTAGAAATTTTATCGGGATTAGGGGTGTTCATTTTGGTGTTTTTTAAGAAATTTGGTTCTCGACGGTTATGAAGAATGGATGATGTTGCTGGTTGTAAATGTTACGTGCTATATATAAATATTATAAAGTATTGGAGTACTACTGCCGTGCAATATGAATGTTTTGTATTTTTTAGGTTACCCAGAATGTAGTGGACTAGTGGTACAGGTGCTTGGTGGGCTAATTGCTAATTTGCTATGGAATGGACACTATAAAGTTTAGATTGTTTAATACTTTGTACTTTGTATGAATCAGTAGCTTTTTACTAAACTTGGATAAAAAATTTTTGCTACCCTTCAAAAAATGTCCTTCAAATGTACAAATTGGTTTTGAGATAAGTAATGAGTTTACTCATTGATTTTTAGGAGTATGGAAGATGACTCCATATATGAACAAACCGATCCTAAAAGTCATAGAAAAATTGTTGGAAAGAAGCTAAATTTTGAAAATTTTCATTCACTTAATAAAGTGATAAACTAATTGAAATTATATAGTTATCTAATTTTACGAAAAGTTAGCATGAATTGTAAATTTGTGATCGGTATCACTTGCAAAGCTCACTAATTTAGAAACATGAAAAATTTCGCAAACTTGTCTCTAATTATTTAAGAAGGATAACTCATTCAAGATTATGCCAAACTCAATCAACATACTTATGTACTACTCCATTGACATTCACCAACACAATGAACAACTTTTATTATATAGTCTACTCATAACTTAGCTCTATATGTACGCGATGCGTGTTTAATCCGATCACAACGGACAATCACCACAATGATTTTGAATGAAGTCCATAACACTAGATAAAACCCCATCAACCCCACCCTTAGTAGTATCAACAACCAACCTAGGAACCTCACCCACATCATACTCCGTACATCCATCATACCCTTCCAACAACCGCTCCATATCCTGCCACGTGGCCGGCTTATGCCCCACCCCTCCATCTTCCTCTCCCCGCCGTTCAACCCGCCGCCGCCACTCCCCTTCATCGGACGGCCGACATTCCACGATCACAACACGGTGGGTCCCACCGGCGATGCGGCGGACGGCGTCGAGGTGGTGGCGCCGGGAAAGAGGAGAATCGACGACGACGGAGAGACCGAGGCGAATCTGAGTTGATGCCACCCGCCACATGGCGTCGTAGGAGAGGTCGTTGAGAGCTGATGACGTGGCGGTGGAGGAGAGAGAAAGTGTCGCGTCGCGGATGTCGTCTTTGCCGATGAGTGTGCACCGGAGTACGGCGGCGATTGCGGCGGCGATTGTGCTTTTTCCGGTGCCTGGATGCCCTTTCATTGCTATTATCACCGGAACTTTTTGTTTCTCGAATTTCTCCATAAGATCAGGTATGAATATTAAGAAAAATACTTCGTAAATTAAATTGATTGTTGTTAATTTTGTGTAAATTTTTGTTATTTTTATGTGAATTTTTGTGGAGTATTTTTATGTGAATTGTTGTTATATGTTGATTAGTATGATGTGGAAGTGGATAGGATGAGAAGAAATAGTATGAATTTTGATTAGTACAAGATTTTTCTGATGATGGAGCAAGGAAAATGACTTGTACCTGAAAAAGAAATTGGACAAGTGTATAAAAAAAACGAAATACAACCATCAAGGAGGTTACATTAATGTGAATTCTATTCTATACACGGGTGTAAGTGTACGTGATGTGAGATTATGTTAAATTACACTCGGGTTAGTCGGGTGTATCATGGACACCTAAGTAGGCTAAGTTATGTTAGTCTTGATGAAGCAGAGTTTGAACCATTGTAGTTGTTATATAGTCTTATGATTCAAATTATGCAATGGTGAAATTTTGCTGAATTTGAAGAATTAAACATTGTCCTGTTATTTGGAGAATGGAGAGCCTAATAGGACATATAATTCGATTGTGTTACTTGATTGTAATTCCAATCTTGGCTTTCTCAATTTGTCGCTTCAAATTGGTGATCTTCTCCTAATATCCTAGGGTGGTTCTCTAAGTACTCTTATATCTTCACTAGTTAGAAAAAAGTACTGTAACTATTACTGATCCAATAATCGAAGCTCAAGTTTGCACATTGGTATACAACAATATACTCCATCAGGACTTCCTTAGGATCTTAGGCCCTGCTTTAGCCATATTTTGTAACGATTGCAAATAAGTTCTAGAAATTTGAAGTATTTAACTGAACCAAGTTTACAGTCGAAAGTAGCTAGCCATGGACTTGCCCTCCAACTCCTTTGAGAAGAACCTCCTAACCAAGTCTGAAAATTTGAGTTGTTGGTACAGTGCTGGCTTTTCAGGTGACACCAACTCAGGCAGCGGTCCATATATATTCTCATGAATGCCTGGGCTGAAGAACACAGCATTTGATACTCGTGGTGTGTGGAAAGGATTAGCAAATACACGATGTTCTCCACTCTTGTATTCATCATTGGATATTATCTAGATGGCAATTTCAAGAATAAGTTTCATTAGGATGAAAATGTACTGAACTTATGATGTGACGGCTGTCTATGTGAATGAGCTCGTGCACTAATGTCGAATACAAGTGTGTGCTAAATTGGATTTTTTTTTATTTTTTTATTTTTTTTTTTTTTTTTTGTATAAAGTTTAGTCCTAATTGAAGAGTCAAGTAATCATGTCAATGTCATAGTTGAAATGAGGAGTTTAAGTTACACAGACTATTGGCTTCATTGAACTTTTAGTACAAATTAGATGTAACTTTCACTTTCCAGTTTTAATAAGCAGTCTATCCTCAGAATTTTCAGTTTTATTTGGTAAATTGTCCTGCCTTAGTTTATGAGATTGAAGAAAGATGTCAATTACTAGTATTAGATTGAAGAAAGATGTCAACTACCAGTATTATTATAATAGACAAGTACCTGTAATAAGTCTCCAATGTTAACAACAAGAGCTCCATGAATAGGTTTCAGATCAATCCACTTTCCATCATATTCAACTTGCAGCCCACCTACTTGGTCCTGCAGCAACACTGTCAAAATCCCAGGATCTGTATGCGAAGCAATCCCAACTGTTTTATCAGGCTCTGGACAATAGGGATAATACTGGCCGACCATGGTTCTTCTTCCTAAATAGGACTTCCCTGTCAACTTATCAGCGCTGAGTCCTAACCCTTCACATAGCAATCCCATGAGTCTTTCCCCAAGATTCTCAACTTCCTTGTCCCACTCTACCACCTCAGTTCTGCAGAAATCCAGCACTATTTTTGCATGAAATGTTTCTTGTTTCTTCTCCAGATATCACATATATTATAATAGATATGATGATAAGAGTTATAGTTCAGTCCAATTTCATAAAGATTTAGGTTAGACCTTGTAGTTGTTTATACAGGAGGCATTACATATATGAATGTTGTCAGAGAGAAACTCCGTATTACTCTGTATGTCGTTACATTAATCAGTGCCCTATAATTACATCAATTTGTTGGGGACACCAATAACATGATAAAAGGTTTGTGGTTTTTAATTTTGATCATGATCTTATGACATTAAAATCAAAATAGGATCACTTTCAAAATAGATATCAGTTGGAATTATAAAATCATAGCGCAAAAGCAGAGGAGAAAAAAAAAAGGGTGATAGAGGTACTCTTTTGCAAAGCTGGTTTCGTTCTGCTTATTTAGAATAGGTTTGCTTGTTTGTAAACAGAATGAATTTGGCCAGAGAGCTGATTCAGTGGATTGGTTTGGACAGCAGAGGACCTTACCTACTTAAGTTAGTGCTGATATTATACCTTGAAGTATGATAGAACACATTAATGACTAACCTGCAAACTTCAGGGACTTCATTGGGATCAAAAGGGATGGGAGCTAGACGAACTGCAAGTGTATCCTGCCAGCTTGCAGCTTTAGAATGGAACAAGTCATAGTTAGAGTAGAATCCCACTCCACTTCTTGCAGTGACCATATCTCGTCGATAAACTTGCATCTTTTCCTGTGGCTGCAGCTCATGGAAGGCCTTGACAGCATCAATTAGACGGTCAAGGAGAGAGATTGGAATCCCATGGTTGATTACTTGAAAGAAACCGAACTTAGCCGAGCCATCTCGCAGCTGCTGCACCAGATCCTTGTGCTCGCCAGAGAGGTCAATAACAGGTATGATCATATCGTTACTTGAGTTGGGTTGTTGAGGTTCATGATCAAAGAGAGCCTCGGGTGGGAAGTGGAAAATACGTGGAATCTGTGCTATGCCTGAGTCAACTAAGCCCTTTACTCCGAGTTTGGTGTCTTCGAATTCTTGTAGCTCTTTACTGAGGTCATATTCATCATCTTGTAGTATCCTGCTAGTTGTCATTTGTAATATATTTTGGGAAATGGTTTCACAAAGCCGAGAGTTTTGTATTGTTTCCTCTTGATTGGTGTTTAGTCGTCACACTTATTGACATTTCAAGCCATTCTTATGATTCAACCATGATTTTATTGAAGAGATCACTGTGGTTGATGTTGATGTTGATGTTAAGTTTTAACATATTCTGTAAGGATAACGCACATGTTCTAAAGAGTGGTTTTAATACCATTTGAATATTCTTCATGCTGTAATGTGCACGTCAGTTTTTAGTCACTTGGATTAGTTGGATAATTGGATTAATGTTAGCTTTCGGGCAGGGGCTACGGGCTAGGTGTACTTTAACATACAATTTATTCTTATTGAAATTATGAGTCACATTTGAGGACTACTCCAATGTCTTCTAAATTATCTCGCCAAGCATCTACCCCAATATCTTCTTCTTCTTCTTAATTTTTTTTGTTAAAAAAGAAAGTAAAAGATACCTTTTTAACTTTATTCTTAGTTAAATATCTAGTTTTGTTTTTATTCAAGCCTTGTATTGTATCATACAACCAATAATACAAATTGAAGCTAATATCATTGAACCAAAGATAACATTATTACAATCTGAAGTAGCTGGTCATGGACTTTCCCTCTAACTCCTTTGAGAAGAAATTTTTTACCAAATCTGAGAATGTGTGTTGCTGATATAGTGCTGGTCTTTCAGGTGATACCAACTCCGGCAAAGGCCCATAGAGATTCTCATAAATGCCTGGGCTTAAGAAGAATGCAATTGATACTCGTGGTTTGAGGAAAGGATTAGCATATACACGATGTTCTCCGCTCTTGTATTCATCATTTGATATTATCTACATGAATCAAAATGCAAGGAGTAAGCTTTGTAAAGCAGAAAGCATTCTGAGTATATATGATACATCATGTAAGCTACTTCATTCAAGTTTACATTAATATTCTGTTGTCAGAATTTTCTGTTCTGATATTTAAACTGTGACCTGCGCTATAGTTAGTTACTGGGTTTGAACTTTGAAGAAAGATGTTTTTTAGACATTAGAAGGTCAGGTACCTGGAATAAGTCTCCGAGGTTAATAACAAGAGCACTGCGAACTGGTGTCAGATTGATCCAACTGCCACCGTATTTAACTTGCAACCCACCCACTTGATCCTGCAGCAAGACTGTTAGAATCCCAGGATCTGTATGCGAAGCTATACCTACTGTCTTGTTTGGCTCTGGACAATATGGATAATATTGACCGGCCACAGCTCTCCTTCCCAAATAAGACGTCCCTGTCAATTTATCAGCACTTAGTCCCAACCCTTCAGATAGCAATCCCATGAGTTGGTCTGCGAGCTGCTTCACTTCCTTATCCCACTCCATCATCTCTGTTCTGCAGAAAACCAGCACTATTTTTGATTGATACATCTTTTACCCGATATACATAACTATTTTTTTTTTTTTTTTGGACGGGTACATAACATAATTTAGAATTAACCTATTTGATAGGAAAAGTATAGCACCGTTTAGGTAATAAGCTTGTAGTGTATGCAGGAGTGGAGGAGCCAATGTCCAAATGAATATTTCCGGGTATTATGTTTGTATATATATACATGTATAGGTAGCTTGCGGACATATAAAGGTTGAGGACTAATAAGATGTTTTTGGATTACTATGTTGAGATTTACCTGGTGGCATGTATGGTTGAAGTATATGATAGAATACATAAATGACTAACCTGCAAACTTCAGGGATTTTACTGGGATCGACAGGGATGGGAGCAAGACGAATTGCAAGTGTATCTCGCCAGCTTGCAGCTTTTGATTGGAACAAGTCATAGTTGGAGTAAAACCCCACTCCACTGCCTGCAGTGACTGTTTCGCGACGATAAAGCTGCATCTTCTCCTCTGCCTGCAGCTCATGGAAGGCCTTAATAGCATCAAGCAGACGGTCCAGAAGGGAGACTGATATCCCATGATTGATCACCTGAAAGAACCCAAACTTAGCTGAGGCATCTCGCAGCTGCTTTACCACTTCCTCGTGCTTACCCGAGAGGTCAATGACAGGTATGATTTGCTCACCATCTGGGTTGGGTGTTTGGGGCTGTTCATGATCAAAGAGGGTCTCAGGTGGGTGGTGGAAGATACGTGGGACGTGAGTTATACCGGAGTCAACCAGGCCCTTCACCCCGAGCTTGGTGTCTTCGAATTCTTCTAGGTCTTTACGGCGATCATAATCATTACTATTAGTTGTCATTTCTGATAGATTCTGTTTGATTATAGGTGGGTGGTTTACTTTTGGTATGAGGCATGGGGAAGGAAGAAGGTTTAGAGTTATAAATAGAAATGGTTCTTTTAAGAAAGATTAATACTTTTTTTTTTTTTTTTTTTTTTTTTTTTGAAGCAAGAAAGATTAATAATTAATAGTCAATTGTTGTTTTTGTTGACGGAATCAATGCGGATGGTATCAATCAAGATAAAATATATATTTTTTTAAAAGATTAATACTATAGTCTATAGTGATAATGCGCACATGGTTCTAAAGTGTAGATTCAACGCAATTGAATAAAAAAATGCACTCTTTTATGGTCATGAACTATGCTTCTTAATCTCAAGGTTGGCTAAAAGAGAGGTCTTTTGTTGCATCTTTCTTCTGTTACAAAGTTGTACGAAGTATATATACACCAAAGTAGGATAAAAATCGGCAAATTTGTCAGAAAAAACCTTTAAAAGCCTCAATTTGCAAGAAAAAACCTTTTAAAGCATTTTTTGTTAAAAAAAACCACAACGATCCCTTTTTTTTCTAAAGAAACCCGAGACCACTTTTCAGGCGTTGACTCCAATTTTCCGACGTCGACTCTCTTATTTTCCTAATTGTAGCCAACAGTTGGTTGATTTTCCCTCTTTTTTTTTAGCCCCTTTTTTCCCCCCTTATATATATATTCTAGGGTTCTCCTCCCCCAAATCACTCTTTCCAGATTAGGGCAACTTTTTACCCAAATCTGAGCAATTGATAGGTAATCTAGGGTTCTTCAACGATTTCTTGCCCAATTGCGCTCTAATCTAGGATTCTTCATCTAATGCTTCCCCAATTGCAGTATGTTCTTCTTCTATTTGTTCTAATTCCTCTCTTTTCGTGTATGATTTTGTAGGAAAAATGGTGATTTGCGGATGTGGCTTTCCTTGTGCTAAGAGAACATCCTGGACTCATGAGAATCCAGGAAGAAGGTTCGAAGCTTGCAGAGGAGAGAGAGAGAAAGGCGAATTGATGTGATTGAATTACAGAGCATTCATGGAAGCCAAAGAAGAGAGAGAAGAGAGTGGAGTTGGAGGGAAAAAATGAGGGGAGATAAAAAGGTGGAGTGCAAATAATAAAATTTGGGTGCAAGTGGGGAAAATAAGAGAGTCAACGTCGGGAAATTGGAGTCAACGCCTGAAAAGTGGTCTCAGGTTTCTTTAGACAAAAAAAGTGATCGTTGTGGTTTTTTTTAACAAAAAATGCTTTAAAAGGTTTTTTCTTGCAAAATAAGGCTTTTAAAAGGTTTTTTCTGACAAATTTGTCAAAAAAAAACCTTTTAAATGCACCATTTTGCGAAAAAAAAACCTTTTAAAAGTTTTTTTTGTTAAAAAAAACCCGAACTTAGTAATTTTTTGCTCAAAGAAACCTGGTATCACAAATTAACTCAATTAGCCTCTAATCTTTTCTAATTTGTCTCTAACACTCACTTAACTATTACATAATTAAATAATTTATAAATTTAAAAAAAATAACAACCACCACCACTCTAACCACCAACCCAACCACCTTCCTTTCTCTCCCCTTCCCCTGGCAGCCACTCCCACCACCGGTGACCCGACTCCACTGCCGCTGACCCCCTTCCCTTTCCCTCTTTCCACCTATGCCACGAAACCACCTCCAAATGGCCTAACCCCCACCTACGACCGACCCCCTCTAAAACCCTAACCCCGACAACCTTCCTACCCACCACCTCAGCCGCGAAAACCACCCCAGCCACACCCACTCGATTGGAATTCCCGAAATACCACCGCCCACAGACATCTCCCTCTTCTACTTCACTTTTTCCCCCTTCTTCAACCACCATCAACATTCAACCATTTACAATTATTCAATTTTGAAAACCCGAAAATGACGCTTGAAAACATGGCGCCGAAGATCGGAAACCGCCATTGACGGGTTGATTTGCTTAATTTGTGGAATTTGTTGTTGATTTGCTCTTTTTTTGCTTTAGGTTTTGATAATCTTAAGGTGGATTGTCGGGTTTAGGGTTTCGAAAGGGGGTTGGCCGGATGTGTAGGCGAGTCACCGGAGATGGAGGGTTTAAGGCAGCGGCTGAGTTGGGGGAGGGGTTGCTGCCAGAGGAAGGGGAAAGGGAGGAGGGTGGCTGGTGGTTAGAGTGGTGGCGGTGTTTTATTTATTTTTTAATTTATATATTAAATAGTTAAGTGAGTGTTAGTGAGTAATTAGAAGAGATTAGAGGTTAATTGAGTTAATTAGTGATACTAGGTTTCTTTGAACAAAAAATTATTAACTTCGGGTTTTTTTTAACAAAAAAGGTTTTAAAAGGTTTTTTTTCGTAAAATGGTGCATTTAAAAGGTTTTTTTTTGACAAATTTGCCTAAAAATATTGTGATAGTTAAGCATTCTGGCTTGTTTTTATATAAATAACGCATTATTTGCTATAGACTGCCTATAGTATATTTTAAGAAAGTTGCATAATTTTGAAAGCGTTACTAATTCAAATTTTTTAATTTTGTAAGATTTGTATAGCCCTTTATTTAAGATGTGTCGATATTTTGAATATTGGATCAATTATAACGGATGCAAAGAATATGATATGTATACCCCTTCATTCAAGATGTGTTGATTTATGGAGTACTTCTTATGTAACAAAACTTTATGATTTACTAACAAAGCGTTATCTAAGTGCAGAGATGAGGATTCGGTGATAAAGTTATTTTAAAGCAGAAGAATTTAGGTGACAATGAAGAGAAAATGTCAACACTAAAAGAAGGTCAATGATGAGAATCTGGAAGGTAGTTCCTTTCCAAAACAATAATTTCTATGGTAATTTCTTTTCTTTTTGTATGTGTTAATTTAAGAAACATTATGTACAATTCTTAGAATAAAATCCCACTCCACTTCCAGTGGTGATCGTATCTCGGGGATAAACTTGCATCTTATTGACATCTCATGGTTGATTACTTGAAAGAACCAGAACTTAGCTAAGGCATCTTGCAGTGTTGCAGCTGCTGCATCAGATCCTCGTGTTCACCAGAGAGAGATCAATGACAGCATTATTGACAAGTATGGTCAGGTCATTACTTGGGCTGGGTTGTTGAAGCTAATGAACAAAAGAGTCTTATGTGGGTAGTGGAAAATTCATGCTGTGTGTCTATGTCTGTGAGTCAATAAGTCCTTTACTCCGAGTTTGATGTCATCAAATTCTAGTAGATCTTTAGGGGATATTCATCTCTTGCAGCTTCCTGCTAGTTGTCATCTGTAATAAGTCGTATATTTTTGGGGAATGAATGGTTTCACAAAGACCAAGAGTTTTGTATTATCTACTCTCTATTGATATGAATTTTCAAACCAGAATTATGAAGCAACCACGACCATTTTTTAATTGACGTGATCAATGTGGTTGATGTTGATTCTAAGTTGTTAATAACGCACACCTGTTCTAAAGAGTGTTTTCAATATCATTTGAATATTCTCCAAGCTGTAATGTGCATCAGTACTAGTCACTTGGTGTACTTTAACAAACTCACAGTTCACAATTTCATTTTATTGAAATTATTAAGAGTCACATTTGAGGAATTTTCTAAATTATCTCGCCATCTTTATTCTTTAAATCAGTTAGTAATACAAATTGAAGTTTGAATTGCAACACTTTTTTTCTTTTTTTCTTTTTTTTTTTTTTTTTTTTTTTTTTTGGATATGAAAAGACCACATTTTTACGATCTGAAGTAGCTGGTTATGGACTTTCTCTCTAACTCCTTTGAGAGGAATTTTATAACCAATTCTGAGAATTTGTGTTGCTGGTACAGTGAAGGTCTTTCAGATGATACCAACTCAGGCAAAGGTCCATTTCGATTATCAGGATTGCCTGGGCTTGAGAAGATTGCAGTAGATACTCGTGGATTGAGGAAAGGATTAGCATATACACGATGTTCTCCACTCTTGTATTCATCATTTGATATTATCTACATGAATCAAAATGCAAGGAGTAAGCTTTGTAAAGCCGAAAGCATAATGAGAGCCGTTTTATCTTGTACGAAAGCATGTACAGCTGACTAGCTAGCATGTTTGGCTTATATTCATTTATTAACACCAATTGGCTATTGGTGTAGTGATGATTGGGGTTACACTTGGTAGGGAGGACTAGGGGTGAAAGTTCGGTATTCGGTTTGGATTATACCCCAAACCGAATCCAAACCGAATTATTTCGGTTTCTGATTCTTGGAACCGAATCCAAACCGAATTTGGATTCAATCCAATCCAATCCAAACCGAAATAATTCAATTTTGAAAAATGGATCCAATCCAAACCGAATTTTTTTGGGCTGTTGATTTGGGCCTTAAAATTGGGCTTTTAATCGGAAGTTTGTTTTGGCCCTTTTGTAGGCCTAAATTGGTGAATTACAATGGTTGGTCTTTAAGCCAAAAATTTGCCAAATTAAGGGAAAATCATAATAAAAAATTTGTCCAGCCACTAGAATAAAATTACAAACACGATAAAAGTCTTAAAATGGAATAACAGTCTACAATGAGTCTACATGCAGCTAAAACCATAATAACATCAACTAAAATCAATATGGTAGATTGACAGCAGCTAGAATCAACATGGCAGGCAGCAGCTTCTTCATTTCTTCAACATGGCAGCTTCAAACAATCAAGCTCAACGATATCTAACAATAAAAAAAATAAACATGTTACATAATATATATAAATAAATCAAAGGAAATCAATATAATCAAACAAACAAAACATCAATGTCGCCAATTTAAACATTATAGCATATCAATGTCATCATATTAGCCAATTTCGAACAGATCGAACAACAAATTAACGAATTCAAACAGAACAGAACTATTGAATGAAAACTTGAAAAGAGAAGTGGGAAATGAGTACACATCTAAGAAGAAGAAAAGCAGGAAAAGATAAGTGAAATTAACAGAACGAAAGTGAAATTAATAAGAAGAAGAGAAGCAAAAAAGGAGAATTCTTACCCTTGAGTGACTGAGTGAGAGGAGATAGTGAGGGAACGCGAACACGAGCGGCGCCGCGGCGGTGAACTGGTGGTAATTTTAGGGAGCACAAAACCACGAACACAAGCGGCGGTGAGAAACGAGATCTGCGGGAGCACGAAGCCACGAACACAAGCGAACTGATGGTGATAGACGTTGACCGGATATGTGGTGAGCGGACTGAGGAAGGTGGTGGTCGGAGCTACTGAGGTGGTGAGGGAGAAAATGGGGAAATTTTGGAGGATTAGGGTTTGGTGAGGAATGTGCCGCAGAAGAGGGGAAAAAAAGACTGGGATAAGAGAGGAGTATTTTAGGGCTTTAGTATATATATGTAGGGTAGGAGAAATGGGCTGGGATATTTGGGCTTCATAAATTTCGGTTTGGATTTTCGGTTTTCGGTTTTTGGAAGCCCAAAACCGAATCCAAACCGAAATATTTCGGTTTTGATTTTTTGAAACCGATCCAAACCGAAAAAAACCGATCCGAATTGCTATTTCGGTTCGGTTTGGATCGGTTTTCGGTTTTTATCCAAATTACTTTCACCCCTAGGGAGGACCACGTGTTCGAATTCCCACAACAACATTTGGGAGGGGACTGGTATCTAACCATTACAACTGATCTTCAAATCCGGATTAGCCTAAAGGGTGAATTGGGTGAAACACCAAAAAAATATATATATAAATATTCATATATTAACACATTACTTTTTTCTTTAGGTAATGGAGAAGTGTCTTATCAGGTCGGAATCTCTCATGGGGAGTAGGAAAGAAGAGTAAGAATTTTCTCTTCAAAATATTGATTGAAGGGATTAGGGGGAGAGAGGGGTTGTTGGGAGTTATTTTTATTAATAAGAAACAAAATTATTGATAAGAATCATTATGCACAATTTAGAATAAAATATAAGGATGAGCTACCTTCTTAGAAATTTCTTACAAAACATTAATAATAAATTAATAATGTATGGTGTCAAAAGGCATAACGTATTGGTTGGATAAAGGAGTAAGCAAATCTCAAATAATTGACTAAATAGTAGGGTTATTATGCAATTTTATACTTGTATTATATTATAAAGTTTGCAACATATATTTATACTAAGTATGAACTTATGGAGTACACTAGACAATTAATACTTGTTTCTAACATAAGAGAACTACATTTATATGTACATGTGTCTAGTTTTCAATCAAACATGCCGATTCATAGTCGAAAGTAGTTGATTGTGTACTTGCCCTCGCCTTCTAGCCCTGTATCCAAGCCCTTGTTAAGCACATCGGAGAATTTGACCTGTTGATACAATGCAGGTTTTTCCTGTGAAACTAACTCAGGCAAAGGTCCATACTCGATTCCACTGATGCCTGGATCAAAGAAGACTGCAACAGACACTCTTGGTTCACTTAAACAATTAGCAAATACACGATGTTCTCCACTCTTGTATTCGTCATTGCATATCATCTATATAGAATTCACAGAGATTAGTTTCAAATGACTAAACACAGAACATCTTTTTCAAATTTGGGGAAAGGGATGTTGGAGATATCTAATGGTTAGGATATAGAAAAGTCTGTAACATATACTTATACTTGATATGGGTTTAAAGAAGTTTCTCCCAAATTTTATGTGTTTGGTAGCTAACATGTTAGCGATTCAGAATTTTTATAGTTCTAATGATAATATAAGATAGGATACCTGAAGTGTGTCACCAATGGATATAACAAGAGCACCATGAACTGGCTTCACATCAATCCATTTTCCATGGCAGTTAACTTGCAAACCTCCACATTGATCCTGCAACAATATTGTCAAAGTCTCAAGATCTGTATGTGCAGTGATCCCAACAGTCTTGTTAGGCTCAGGACAGTGTGGATAATACTGGCCGACCATAAGTCTTCTTTCGATGCAGGACATCTGCAGTAATCTGTTCCTGCTTAACCCCAAACCTTCGGACAATAACCTCATGAGTCGCTTTGCTAGCTGCTTCACTTCCTTGTCCCACTCTATCACCTCCTCCCTACCATCCACAAACATTAAATACAACGAACCTAAGGTAACACCTGATCATTTTTAACATAACTTGCAACAGAAGAGATGAAACTTCAGTTTTGTATATCTCTAATTCTTTTTTACAATATCAACTTAGGTGGAGGTTTTTGTTGGAATAATCCGAGGAGGTATGAATATATGCAGTCTTGTTAAGTAAAGAAATGTGAAGTATTTTCTCTATAACAATTTATAAATCATGTATGAGGGTGTGCAGACGTTGCTGAAAACTTTTATCAGAATAGTTATTAGTTGGATCAGAGAATTTGTAAGAAATCTGAAATTAGAGTTCCTAAATCATGCCTGTTATAGCTAGAGCTGTCAATAGTTGACCCGACCCGAAATACCGGCTCAAACCCGATTATTAACCGACCCATTTGAACCCGAAAAAATAGTGACCCAAACCCGACCTGAAACCAACCCTAGACCCGAGTATGTGAGACCCGAACCCGAATATAAACTGACCTGCAGATGACCCAACCCGAATATAACTCGTAAATTATTGACCCGAACCGAACCCGACTTGAACCGAAATTGACCCAAACCCGTTTTAACCCGTCAAAACCCGAATTTAACCCGACTTGTTACTAACCTAACCTGATTTCAACCCGACCCGCTCCTAACCCGACCCGAATTTAACCCAACCTGTTACAAACCCGACCCGAAATCAACCCAACTTGTTATTAACCTGACCCAAATTCAACCCGACTTGTTATTGACCCGACCCGAATTTTACCAGACCTATTACTAACCCGACCCAAAAATTCAACCCGATCTGTTACTAACCCGACTCGAAATCAACACGGCTTGTTATTAACCTGACCTAAATTTAACTCAAATTGTTCCTGACCCGATTTCAAATTAACTTAAATGCAATTTAGACCACCTTATTATTGTTGATTAAAGCATTTTGTCTAGGGAGACCAAGTCAGTCCAAGCCAGCAAAAGAAATGAGCATCATCCTCAAATTTAAGAGTTAAATATAGTATATATTTGTTGTATGGTCAAAAGAGATAATTATCTTCCTAAATTATATACTATAATTCCCTCGTATATTGCCATATATATTATAGTCAAAGGAAATAATTACCTTGATAAAAATGATAATTATCTATTTATAGTTAGTTGAACCTGAATATGACCTGACTTGGAAATGACCAGACCTGATTATAACCTGCAAATTATTAACTTGAACATAACCTGACTTGAATCCGAGAATGACCCGACTTGGAAATGACCCAACCTCATTATAACCCGCAAATGACTTGAACCGAACCCGACTTGAACCCGAGAATGACCCGACTTGAATCCGAGAATGACCCGATTTGAAAATGACCTACCCTGATTATAACCCACAAATTATTGACTTGAATCGAACCCGACTTGAAAATAACCCGACCTGATTATAAACCGCAAATTATTGACTTGAACCGAACGTGACTCAAACCCGAGAATTACCCAAACACGTTTTAACCCGTCAAAATCTGAATTAAAATCGACCTATTATTCACCCGACCCGAATGTAACCCGACCTGTTATCAACCCATCCTAAACTCGACCTAAACCCGATAAGAAGTATGACATGACGTGACCCGACTCAAGCATGACCAGACCCAAACACGACCCGCATAGGTTATGGAATTAATCCGAATGAACCCGACTCAAGTTGACCCGACCCACTCTTACCGACCCAAACCCGACCAGTTTACCCGAATTGACAGCTCTACACGAAACCTCCAAAATTTCTCAAAAACCGTGGATATTAGCCTTCAATAATTATGGAATTTTTTGACTTTTTTTTCACTCGAACATAAAAAAATTGCCGAAATATTTACCATGGTCCCTAACAGCCTCCGGGAGTCCAATTGGGTGGGTGGAACCATCTAATTTGCCTTTAAACGACCAATTTACCGGTTTACAACTTGCACCAATTTCATTAATTCAAGCCTACCACGAACATTTATAACAACAAATAATAATCATATATGGTTCCAAACGACATTATATGACCTCGAGATGTATCCCCTAGAATCTCAAGCCTTTTCGAAACCGGACACCGAAACCTCCAAAATTTCTCAAAAAGCGTGGATATTAGCCTTCAATTTTGAAATTTTTGGTTTTTTTTCGCCCGTTAATAAAAATTGCCGAAATGTTTACCGTGGTCCCTAATACCCTTTGGGAGTCCAATTGGGTGGTTGGAACCATTTAATTTGCCATTAAACGACCAATTTACCGATTTACAACTTGCACCGATTTCATTAATTCAAGGCTAACACGAATATTTATGACAACATATAATGATAATATATGGTTCCAAACGGGATTATATGACCCCGAGAGTATACCATTGAATTTCAAGACTTTTCGACATCGGTCCCCGAAGCATCCAAAATATCATAAAAAGTGTGGATATTAGCTTTCAATTTTGGAATTTTTTGACTTTTTTTCGCCCGAAAATAAAAAATTTCGAAATATTTACCATGGTCCCAAATACTTTCAGGGAGTCCAATTGGGTGTGTGGAACCATCCAATTTGCATTTAAACGACCAATTTTTCCGGTGCACAACTTGCGCGGATCGGATTTCATTAACCCAAGCATACTACGAACATTTATGACAACATATATTGATCATATATGGATCCAAACTGCATTATATGACACCGATATGTATCCCCGAAAATATGAAAACTTTTCTACACTGTGCCCCGCCTCGAAACCTCATAAATTTCTCAAAAAGTGTGGATATTAGCCTTAAATTTTGGAATTTTAACTTTTTATTTCACCGGAAGTAAAAATTGCTAAAATGTTTACCATGGTCCCTAATACCCTCAGGAGTCCAATTGGGTGGTTGGAACCATTTAATTTGCCTTTAAAAGACCAATTTACCTGTTTACAACTTGCACCGATTACATTAATTCAAGCCTACCACGAACATTTATGACAACAAATAATGATCATCATATATGGTTCCAAACGGGATTACATGACCCCGAGATGTATCCCATTGAATTTCAAGACCTTTCAACATTGGTCCTCGAAACATCCAAAATTTCATAAAAAGCGTGGATATTAGCCTTCAATTTTGGAAATTTTTGACTTTTTTTCACCCGAAAATAAAAATTGTCGAAATATTTACCATGGTCCCTAAACCCTCCGGGAGTCCAATTGGGTGGTTGGAACCATTTAATTTGCCTATAAACGACCAAATTACCGATTTACAACTTGCACCGATTTCATTAATTCAAGCCTACCACGAACATTTATGACATTAAATAATGATCATATATGGTTCCAAACGGGATTATATGATCCCGAGATGTATGCTATTGAATTTTAAAAATTTCATAAAAAGTGAGGATATTAGCCTTCAATTTTGCAATTTTTTTACTTTTTTTAGCCCGTATATAAAAATTGCCGAAATATTTACCATGGTAACTAATATCCTACGGGAGTCCAATTAGATGGGTGGAACCATCCAATTTGCCTTTAAACGGCGAATCTACCTGTTTACAACTTACACCGATTTCATTAAGTCAAGCCTAGCACGAACTTTTATGACAACATATAATGATCATATATGGTTCCAAACGGCATTATATGTCCCCGAGATATATCCCCTAGAATCTTAAGCCTTTTCAAAACCGGGCCTCGAAACCTCCAAAATTTCTCAAAAAGCGTGGATATTAGCCTTCAATTTTGAAATTTTTGGCTTTTTTTCGCCCGTGTATAAAAATTTCCGAAATTTTTACCATGGTCCCAAATACCCTCAGGGAGTCCAATTGAGTGGTTGGAACCATTTAATTTTCCTTTAAACGACCAATTTACCGATTTATAACTTGCACTGATTTCATTAATTCAAGCCTATACCACGAATATTTATGACGACAAATAATGATCATATATGGTTCCAAACGGGATTATATGACCCCGAGATGTATAACATTGAATTTCAAGATTTTTCGACATCGGTCCCCGAAACATCCAGAATATCAAAAGACTGTGGATATTAACCTTCAATTTTTGAAATTTTTTACTTTTTTTGAACCGAGAATAAAAATTGCCGAAATATTTACCATGGTCCCTAATACTCTCCGGTAGTCCAATTGGGTGGTTGGAACCATTAAATTCCCTTTAAACGACCAATTTACCGGTTTACAACTTGCACCAATTTCATTAATTAAAGCCTACCACAAACATTTATGACAACAAATAATGATCATATATGGTTTCAAACGGGATTATATTACCCCGAGATGTATCCAATTGAATTTCAGTACTTTTCGACATCGGTCCTCGAAACATCCAAAATTTCAAAAAAAGCGTGGATATTAGCCTTCAATTTTGCAATTTGTTTACATTTTTTAGCCCGTATATAAAAATTTCCGAAATATTTACCATGGTACCTTATACCCTATGGAAGTCCAATTAGATGGGTGGAACCATCGAATTTGCCTCTAAACGGCGAATTTACCAGTTTACAACTTATACCGATTTCATTAACTCAAGCATAGCACGAACTTTTATGACAATATATAATTATCATATATGGTTCCAAATGGAATTATATGACCCCGAGATGTATTACCTAGAATCTCAAGCCTTTTCGAAACCGGGCCTCGAAACCTCCAAAATTTCTCAAAATCGTTGATATTAGTATTTAATTTTGAAAATTTTGGCTTTTTTTCGCCGGTTAATAAAAATTGCCGAAATGTTTACCATGGTCCCTAATACCTTCACGGAGTCCAATTGGGTGGTTAAAACCATTTAATTTGCCTTTAAACAACCAATTTACCGGTTTACAACTGGCACCGATTTCATTAATTCAAGCCTACCACGAATATTTATGACAACAAATAATGACCATATATGGTTCCAAACGGGATTATATGTATACCATTGAATTTCAAGACTTTTCGACATCGGTCCTCGAAACATCCAATATATCATAAAAAGTGTGGATATAGCCTTCAATTTTGGAATTTTTTGACTTTTTTTCGCCCGAAATAAAAATATCCAAACTATTTACCATGGTCCCAAATACTTTCCGGGAGTCCAATTGAGTGTGTGAAACCATCCAATATGCTTTTAAATGGCCAATTTTTCCGGTGCACATTTTGCATGGATTTCATCAACTCAAGCTTACTACGAACATTTATGACAACATATAATGATCATATATAAATCCAAACTGCATTATATGACACCGATATGTATCCCCGAAAATATGAAAACTTTTCTACACTGTGCCCCGTCTCAAAATCTCCAAAATTTATCAAAGCGTGGATATTAGCTGTAGACACCCATTTGTGTCTCCCCAAAACCAAACCCGATGATGAGTACCTTTCACGTAGAATCATAATCGAATGAAACGAAAGTGTGGAAAGGTCTAGTGTTGCGGAAATTTTATTTCTTTTCTCTTCTCCCTGATTTTGAAAACTTTATTTTAAGAAAATAGTCAATCCAGTTTGGTTGGTCCATGATATGGGTCCAATAGTGGTGTAGTTGTATAGGGCTTGCAAAGACCTTTCCAACGATATATTATAAGCCCAATTTCGATGAATATTGAGGAAGTTATGACCAATTTACTAAAATGGGCCCGGTTTGAGCTTTATGTACGGCCCAATGATCTAAGGGAGGACCTAATATGATTTATCATTCCTAATGCAATTAGGAATGGTTTTAGTCTTCTAGAAGGTTCTTTTCATTCTTAATTCAATTAGGACTTTTCAGAGTTTTAATCAAGATCAAATAGCATTTTCGAAGAAATTATATTATTTTATCTTCCAGTACGGGAAATTTATCAGATTTTCGAAAACGCATTGAAATCCAGTTTGGCGTCCAACCCCAGGCCTTGGCGCTTGGAACTAGGCTTGGCGCCAGGCGCTAGCCATTGGCGCCTGGCGCTAGCCACTGGTGCCTGGCGCCAACTAGCCAGGGTTGGCGCCAATCCTGTTTTGTGATCTTCAGACTCTGTTTTGTTAAATTATCTTTTTTGGCTGATATTCTCTATAAATATTGTATCAAAAACTCCGTTTTCATTCACCAATTCTCACGAATTCTCATCAACAATTAGTTTTAATTAGCTTTCATCAACAATCATTAATTCTTTAGCATTCTTTCTTTCCTGCTTTTTCATACAAAATTCCGCATTCACAAGATCTAGAAACACCTAGCCATAAGTTGCCTTCGCCCTAGACGTGAAAGGTTTTAATTTCTGGGTTTGGCCCCAAATCTCTATTTAAATTATTTAATTGTTTTGATTATTATTTTCCTTGAAGTTACTAACGTGTGTATTTTGTTATTAGAAAGAGGTACGAGGCATCAAAGTAAGTTCTTTAATGGTTTTAATTGATTTATGATGTAGACATCATGTTTATATTGTTATTAAGTTATTCCTAGTATCATGTCTAGGGTAATTTTAATATTAAATATGATTGTTATGATGCTTCCTATGTTCTTTCTAATATTAATTCATGTTAGTATCATGTTAGGGTTAAAGATTTGATTTTTATTGCTTAGTGACATGCTAGGGTTTGTTAATTAATCTGGTTAGTATCATGCCTAGGATCTTACTTTTATTATGATTTAATATTCACATGATCATGATTATAATTGTTATAATTTATTATTATTATTATTATTATTATTATTATTTTGATGATGATTATTTTATTTATGATGATATTATTATTATTATAATTATTATTTATGATTATTATGATATTGATTATTTATTATGTTGCTTGATGCTATTTATTATTTATTGCTTGATCACCTTTATTGCATGTTAAAGGGAATTTGTACTTGTAATCACGCTTAATAAGATAATTAATAATCTTGTTAGGGTTAATGTGATTATAATTCAAGTGATCGCCAATAATAGTTTATTTGTGCATTAATATTCAACCAACATAGATTAAACAGGTTTAGCATTAATCCTATTGATTGCATGTTAGTCAGAAAGCGCACATGAATACGAGCAGAATAAAGTAGAGGCCTATTATTAGGGCAGGTTCAATCTCTTTTAGGTTGGATTTGTACCATCATCCCCGAACCCTTATTTGGTTCATAACCTTATGGAGTTGACGATCTCTTGGAACGTTAAGGGGTGTAACCTTCACCTCCTGAACGGTTTACAAGTTCCTTAAAAACTTGTTGGCGACTCTTTTGCTCTATCTTCTTCCCTTTTGGACGCCACCGTACTTTAGTGTATGATCACAGTGGGGTTCAAGCTAGTGGGATTTTAAGGCTTGAAATTATTCCCTACAGTAGCCTTTAATTTTGGAATTTTGACTTTTTATTTCACCGGAAGTAAAAATTGCCGAAATGTTTACCATGGTCCCTAATACCCTCCAGGAGTCCAATTGGGTGGTTGGAACCATTTAATTTGCCTTTAAACGACCAATTTACCGGTTTACAACTTGCACCGATTTCATTAATTCAATCCTACCACGAACATTTATGACAATAAATAATGATCATATATGGTTCCAAACGGGATTATATGACCCCGAGATGTATCCCATTGAATTTCAAGACTTTTCGACATCGGTCCTTGAAACATCCAAAATTTCATAAAAAGCGTGGATATTAGCCTTCAATTTTGCAATTTTTTGACTTTTTTAGCCCGTATATAAAAAGTGCCGAAATATTTACCATGGTACCTAATACCCTACAAAAGTCCAATTAGATGGGTGGAACCATCCAATTTGCCTTTAAACGGCGAATTTACCAGTTTACAACTTGCACCGATTTCATTAACTTAAGTCTAGCACGAACTTTTATGACAACATATTATGATCATATATGGTTCCAAACGACATTATATGACCCCGAGATGTATTCCCCATAATCTCAAGCCTTTTCGACACCGGACACCGAAACCTCCAAAATTTCTCTATAAGCGTGGACATTAGCCTTCAATTTTGAAATTTTTGGCTTTTTTTTTTGCCCGTTAATAAAAATTGCCGAAATGCTTACCATGGTCCTAATACCGTCCAAGAATCTCATTGGGAAGGTGGAACCATCCAATTTGCCTTTAAATGACCAATTTACTGATTTACAAATAATGATCATATATGGTTCCAAACGGGATTATATGACCCCGAGATGTATCCCATATTCCCATTGAATTTCAAGAGTTTTGACATCGGTCCCCGAAACATTCAAAATTTCATAAAAATCGTGGATATTAGCCTTCAATTTTGGAATTTTTTGACTTTTTTTCGCCCGAAAATAAAAATTGTCGAAATATTTACCATGGTCTCTAATACCTTCTGGGAGTCCAATTGGGTGTGTGGAACCATCCATTTTGCTTTTAAACGGCCAATTTACCTTTATACAACTTGCACCGATTTACCGGTTTACAACGGCCAATTTAATTAACTTGCACCGAACTCGACTTGAACCGAAATTTACCCAAACTCGTTTTAACTAATCAAAACCCGAATTTAACCCGACTTGTTACTAACCTGACCTGAATTCAACCCGACCCGTTCCTAACCCGACCCGAATTTAACCCAATCTGTTACAAACCTGACCCAAAATCAACCCGAGTTGTTATTGACCTGACCCAAATTAAACCCGACTTGTTATTGACTCAACCCGAATTTTTAACAGACCTATTACTTACCTGACCCAAAAATTCAACCCAATCTGTTACTAACCCGACTCGAAATTAACTCGACTTGTTATTGACTCGGCCTAAATTCAACCCAAATTGTTCCTGACCCAATTTCAAATCATCTTAAATGCTATTTATTACACCTTATTATTGTTGATCAAAGCATTTTGTCTAGCTTAAGGATACCAAGTCGGTCTTTGCCAGCAAAAGAAATGAGCATCATCCTTAAATTTGAGAGTTAAATATAGTATATATTTGTTGTATGGTCAAATTAGTTAATTATCTTCCTAAATTATAGACAATAGTTCCCTAGTATATTGTCATATACTTCCTCCGTTTTTAAATACTTGCTCCGCTTTCCATTTGCGTCCGTTTTTAAATACTTGCTCCATTTCCTTATTTGGAAACTTTTACAATATTTAATCAATTTCTCTCACCTAGTGGTCCCAACATATATTCTCTCTCCTCCAATTCTCTACACTACTTTTGCTTTCTATAATTTTTTATTCTTCCACCAACCCCACTACCTCCATATTTTATTACTTTCTCTAATTTCTCCTAAAACTTTGTGTATGGAAAAATGGAGCAAGTATTTAAAACCGGAGGGAGTATATTATAGTCAAAGTAAATAATTAACTTGATAAAAATGATAATTATCTATTTATAGTTAGCAAATTATTGACTTGAATCGAACTCGACTTGAAATCGAGAATGACCCGACTTAAAAATGACCCGATCTGATTATAATCCGCAAATTATTGAATTGAACCGAACCTGACTCAAACCTGAGAATGACCCGACCTGATTCTAATCCGTAAATTATTGATTTGAACCGAACCCAACTCGAACCCGAGAATTATCCTAACCTATTTTAACCTGTGAAATCCCAAATTAAACCCGACCTATTGTTCACCCAACCCCAATGTAACCCGACCTAAACCCGATAAGAAGTATGACCCGACGTGACCCGACTCAAGCATGACCCAACCCAAACCCGACCCACATAGGTTATGGAATTAATCCGAAATTCCGAGTTGACCTAACCCACTCTTACCGAACCAAACCCGACCCGTTTACCCGAATTGACAGCTCTAGTTATAGCTGGTGCAAGAAAAAATAAGCGAAATCAATAAACTAGAACACATGGATTTGATCAATTTAATTAACAACTCGTTAGCTATGTCAACTGTGCAGAGAAGAGGATCTTGAGGACAGCTGATCACGATATAAGGCAAAGCAAGAACCTGTGCTAGGTCACTCAAAGAGACAGACTGATTCAACGCATAGTAAATCATCAACATAAACTCACCTGCATACTTCTGGGAGAGCTTTGGGATCAAATTGTTCCAGCCGAATCTCAAGAGTATCCCTCCAACTGGCAGCATCAGATTGAAACAAGTCAAAGTTAGAGTAAAATCCCACTCCACCACTGCTGCAAGTAGTTGTATCTCTTCTGTAATGAGGGATCTTCTGCTCAGGTGGCAGTTCATGGAAGGCCTTAATTCTGTCGAGCAGGCGGTCAAGGAGGCAGACTGAAATTCCACGGTTGATCACCTGAAAGAATCCAAACTTAGCTGATGCATCTCTGATACTCTGCACAATCTCTGCTTGCTTACTCAAGAGGTCGATAACAGGTATCGTCTGATCCTGTTCTGAACTGCTATCAGTGTTGCTGAGGTGAAACAAAGTATCTGGTGGGTGGTGGAAGATGCGAGGGATTTGTATTATGCCTGAATCAACCAGGCCTTTTACACCGAGTTTCGTGTTATCAAACTCTTGCAGTTCTTTATCACGGTTGTAGTTTGACAGGCTACTGATACTGCTTGTGTTTGCTGTCATGATTTCAGGGATAGGAAATATGGGATTAGGTAGAAAATTATGGTCTAAACATTGGTTGGTGGCATAATTAAGCGTGCTGTCAACATCATCAACTTGATCTGCAAACTTTAGTTGGATAGATTAGTGGGTTATTAGTTGTATATAATATACAAGTAATTATTTTTCCTTGGAAAATACCTTCAGCTTGACTAACTTATTTAAAACCCTCAACAAAAAATGACTTGTGAACAAAAGAAATCAACAAACTAACCACAACTCTGAATGTTCTGTTTTTCATTAAAATGATAACATGTTTAGTGATGGAAGGCTAAAAATAAATACAGGTTAACCACAATTCTGACAAGAAAGAGTATACATCAGTACATAAACGGAACCAAATGATTCATAGATTAACTACACAATCATGCCGAGCAATTACATGATCACAAATCATCCGAACAAGATTAATCACTAGTTTTCTAAACTGAAGTATTTGGCCAAGGTCTTTCCTTCCAGTTCCTTTTTTAAAAACCTGTTAATGAATTCTGAGTATGTGAATTGCCGGTAATGTGCAGGCTCTTCAGGCGATACTATCTCTGGTAATGGTCCATACAAGTCATCCCTCTTGCTCGGGTTGCAGAACACAGCAATTGACACCCGTGGTTCATGCTGAGGATTAGCATACACTCGGTGCTCTACACTCGTGTACTTATCATTCGAGAGGATCTGAGAAAGACACAAAACCAACCAGCTTTTTAGCAAACTGAAACCCTGCATTAGTTAATATGTTTACAGTCAAAATTAAGCTATGTTTGATACCTGAAGCAAGTCACCAACATTAATAACAAGTGCACCATGGACTGGTTTGAAATTCACCCAATTTCCTTGATGTTTAATTTGCAACCCACCAACTTGATCCTGCAGCAGCACAGTGAGAACACCGGGATCTGTATGGCACGCGATCCCAACTGTCTTGTTAGGCTCGGGACAATAAGGATAGTAGTGTCCAACCATAACTTTTCCTCCTGAACATGACATCTCTACCAACTTATCGGCTTTCACTCCCAATCCTTGAGAGAATAGTCCCAATAGCTTCTCAGTTAGCTGTTTCACTTCCTTATCCCATTCAAGAATCTCATTTCTGCCATAATTAATCAACATCATCAATGAGAACCAATCTTCAGGGAATTGATCAACTTGTAATAAGGTTTCAACACAATACGTTATACGTAACAGTGGTACTTTTACCATGATGCTTAGGCTATACATCAACAAGTATGGTAGTTCACTAAGTCTTTTAGACAGGACAGGGGTAATTTATGTACTTATGTATCCAATTGTCCAAAATAACCATTTACTCCTCCCGTCTTTATTTGTTTTATCTATTTAAATTTTAGATTCTTGTTGAGAGACGAGAAAAATAAAGTCAAACTAGAAACAACAAATAGAGACGGAAAAATTAATCATAGTTGAGTACTCCGTAATAAACTGCTTAATACCAATGTCAACAAATAAAAAAATATTACTCCTAGCTACCAACTAAAAGTTGAACATTATACTATAGAAATCCATACCATAGAGTGGACTAATCTAATTCTGGGAAAAATTTTGGACATTGCGGCTTTAGTGAGTGGACTGCTTCTGAGTAAAGTTTAAAATTCAATAACTTGCAGTTTTGTTTTAGAAAAAAAACAAACAAACAAATAAACAAAAAAAGTGATTGAGATGACAAGGGTGGCTGAAGTCATGGTAGCTAAACCTGTCTTTTTTCTCGAGTCGTATCAAGATTAGGTTGAGGTCATGTTTATTCTAATTAGTTTATCAAAGAAGAAATATCAAATTTAATCATCTATCATGCCGGGCAATTTGGGTCCGGCTGAATCAAATCTGATCCTAAATTTAAGTTGTCCACGAAGTTAGATCAAATGACAAAGGACATTGTAAACAGAAGGGAAGTTGCAACGTACTACAAACATAAAATCAACGAAATTCAAACTTGTGGGGTATAGCCCAAGAAGACAAGAATTTTCTTGTACTTATAATTACGCAAAAAAAAAAAAAAAAAAAAAAAAAAAAAAAAAAAAAAAAAAAAAACATTGTAGTCTTGTAGAGGCGTGTAGTTAGACCATCAAGATATTCATGGGTCGCTTAATATTTTTGTTCAATTACACTACTCGCACTACATTAATAATTATTGTACTCCGTAATTGATTATACAGTTAAACTTATCTCAAATCCGGCCCGAAAATTCAAAACACGATCCAAACCCAAAAAAAAAAACACACACACAATGACAAACAAAAAGATGAATTAAAATCCAACATGAAACTCTGAGTCACAAATTAAAACATGTCACGTTTTTAGATAAAAGCTAACAAAAATCAGCATTAATTATTACCTGCAAATATCCGGAATAGAATCAACATCAGCCATAATAGGACCCAACCGAAGTTGCAACGTATCCCTCCAGCTGGCAGCTTTTGATACGAAGAGATCAACGTTCGAAAAGTAGTTAACACCGGTTGTCATATCTCTCCGGTAATGCTTCATCCTCTCTTCAGCCGGGAGTTCATGAAATGCCTTAACGGCTTTTACGAGCCGATCAAGGAGAGAAACTGGGACTCCATGGTTTATCACTTGAAAAAACCCGTATGTACCCGCGGCTTTACGGACTTGGTCCACCACCTCTGGTGTTGGACCGGATAGGTCGATAACGGGAATTGGATCAGCACCCGAACCCGTGTCGGGTGCTGAGTTTCCCGTATCGACCAGGTTTTCTGGAGGGTGGTGGAAGATGGAAGGGATTTGGGTGACACCTGAATCGACTAGGCCTTTAACTCCTAGTTTTGTGTTTTCGAATTTTTTGACATCGTCTTGACGGTCGAATGCCAAGACGACCGGTTGGGTACCGGGATTAACCGATGTCATTATAGTTCCTGTTTTTGTATTTGGGCGTAATTGTGTAAGGACTTTGAGGGGGTGATCTAATTTTGGGAATAGGGATGTCATATACTGATATACAAGTAGTTTTAAAGAGGAGTAATAGTCAATTTTTGGTGTGAAATTTCAACTTAGGAAAAAATGAGATTAATACGGAACTAAATGGTTTATATATTGTAAGCTACGCAACTCTAATTTGGGGACCAGTTTTGTTTGTTCATACTCGTGAGAACTTATCAACAAATTGTACAAGTCTAGATTGGAATAAGAGGTCACAAGCTTGTAGTGTAAAAGTGTACACGTGTAATCAGTTAGTGACTCATAAAAGCAGTCTACTAGTAATAAAGTGTATTTAACACTTTTGATCTATTTTAAATACGGAGTAATTGTTGTTTATGATTAATATCAGGTTCTCATCTGTTTTTTACTCCGTAATACTTTTTTTTTTTTTTAAAGGGAAGGAGAATCATTAATTAATAAAGATGATCAAAGTTACAAAATTAGGATGAAGATCCTTGGGCCAAGGCTGACCACTAATCATCAGCAAATAAAATTCACAAAACCCAAAGTTCAAAACCAAATCTAACAGATTATAAATCACAGTAGTAACAACTAGTGTTTGATTGTTCCAACTGACATCCCACGGCAGCCAACCAGAGCTGAAGCTGCAGCTAAATGCTTCTGGTAAGGTCGTCCTCATACGCGTCTCTTGCTGGTCTAGGTGCTTCATCGAAGAATTGCGCCCTTTCTCCTGATTCCATAGCGATCTTTGCAAGATAATGTGCCACTCGATTAGCCTCCCTAGGGACATATTTGAAGTCAAAAGAGCAGCCTTTATCAAGGAGAGCTTGCATATCCATTAGTATGACAGCCAATTCATGGGTACCATATTTCTCCACCTCCTCTATAGTTTTCTTAAGTGATAATGCATCAGTTTCCATTATCACTTCCTTGAGCTGAGCATCGACAGCCATTTGCATACCACCCCTTATAGCCATCAATTCCGCTTGAGCTGCGTTATTGGCCATGACACTCTAAGATTTACCAAAGAACCAAGTCCCATCTGCTAGCCTTGCAACTGCTCCAGCTCCTGCAGATTGACCGTTCTTCCTCCATGCTCCATCCGTATTTATCTTAATGCAGCATCCACTTGGTCTTTGCCATCTAGTTTCCCGGATGAGCACAGCTGGCACCTTTCCTTTACCCTGCAAAGCGTTAACAGTAGCATCCAAATCCAGCTTATATTTGTTAAACAAAGAGAGAGGTTGATATATTGCTTGCTGAAAAACCGTGAAATTCCGAGCCTTCCATAGGTGCCAAATTGCAACCGAAAAGGTTACTCTCCAAGTCGTACTCATATTAAGATTGTAATTAACCCATCCATCCCAATTAATATTGAAAAAAGTGTGGTAATTAAAATCTTTATCCATTCTATTCAAGGTGAAGACCCTAGACCACAAGGTTCTAGAATTAATACAATCTCTAAATAAGTGTAAATGATTCTCTTTATCAAGATTGCATCTAGTACAAACCGGATCAAAATTATCAATTTTTTCAGCCAAAACAGTAGCAGTAGGCAAAATTTGATGACTAATGTTCCAAACTAACATTTTGTACTTAAAAGGAATAGGGATATGCCAAAGTTTCTTCCAATTTATACGAGGAAAAGAAGGATGAGACACAAAGTTAGAAGCTAACTTGTATGCACTTCTAATATTAAATTGGCCATTAGCCTCGATTCCCCAGCAAAGGGTATCATTCACCGAAGCACACAAGGGAAGGGGAATACTTTCAATTAGCTTGCAAAGGTAATCCGGAATGATGTGTTTTATTTTGTTAGTGTTCCATTTACCATTATCAATAATATGATTAACTCCCCAATGAGCCATAGAATTAGGAATGGGTTTATCCAAGATTAAGTAGATGGCCTTATCCCCCACCCAATGGTGGAACCATAAACAAATATCTCTCCCATTTCCAATTCTATAAGATATTCCTTTTGTTAGTAATTCCTTTCCTTTTAGAATATCCTTCCAAAGAGGAGAATCATTTACACTTGGTATACTATTGAGGAAAGTCGACCGTTTAAAATATCTAGCCCTCAAGATCCTAACCCAAAGTTTATCCGGTTCATGAATGATCCTCCACCCAAGTTTGGCCATGAAAGCTAAATTCCAATTCCCAAGATTTCTCATCCCAAGTCCCCCAAGTCCTAATGGAAGACTAACTTTCTCCCAACTAGTTTTAGGAAGATAATGGGATTTATCGACCTTATTCCAAAGAAACCTCCTACAACTTCTCTCTAGATCATCAATAATGGTGTTAGGAAGCAAGGAAGTTTGCATTACATAAAGAGGATAAGAGTTAAGAACGGATTTAATTAAGGTACATCTTCCGGCCATGTTAAGAAGCTTAGCTTGCCATCCCCTTATTCTATTTTTAGTCTTGTTAAGGAGATCAACGTAATCTGCAATCCTAAGTCTATTAGGACTAATATTTACCCCCAAGTACTTGCCAAAAGAGGGCGCACCTTTAATACTAGAAACACTAAGGATAGTCCGCTTAAGGGATAAGCACATTTTAGGAGGAAAAATGACCTTAGACTTACTAGAACTTATGAACAAACCCGATTTAGCCCCAAAATCAAGGAGTACCTCCTTAATAGCATTAACATTACTAACCGAGGCCTTGGAAAATAAAACACATCATCGGCATAAACAAGGTGAGAAACACTTACATCTTGATCAATTTTAATAGGCTCCCAAAGACCCTCTCTTACTTTTTGCTCTATCATCAAAGATAAACGTTCAAGGCATAGAACAAAAATGTAAGAAGAAAGAGGATCCCCTTGTCTAATCCCTCTAGAAGGAGTAAAACTATACGTAATTTCCCCATTCCATAAAATAGAAATGGACGGAGTAGTAATACAACTCATGATAAGATTAACAAGCTTGTGAGGAAAATTTAACCCCAATAAAGTTTCTCTTATAAATCCCCACTCTAGACTATCATAAGCCTTAGAAATATCGATTTTGAAAGCCATAAGGTGTTTTTTACTCGCTTTTTTTAAAAAATGAGCAATTTTCTTAATGACTAAAATATTCTCATCGATAGATCTCCCTTCTATGAAACTAGACTGGACCGGATTAATTAAATATCCTAGGAGAGGCTTAACTCTATTAGCAACAATTTTAGTTATGATTTTATAAATTGAATTACATAATCCAATTGGTCTAAAATCATTCATTGTTTCCGGTTGATCAATTTTAGGAATAAGGCAAATATAAGACTCATTAACATAAGCCGGAATAGAACCCTCCCTAAAACAATTAGTCACTCGATCAATAATGGAAGTACCTACAACATCCCAATATTTTTGGAAGAATCTAGGTTGAATCCCATCCGGACCCGGACTTTTCATGGGAGCCATCATGAACAATGCATTTCTCACTTCCATAGCACTATTTGACTAGAAAGGAACATGTAGTCATCATCAGTTACTACTGCCAAGGGAATGAAATTAGCTACTCTAGGTTGGCTACTTTGTTTAGACTCGAAAATCTTCTTAAAGTAATCGACACACATAGCTTTAAGCATAACTTGATCATTAATCCAGCAACCCGACTCATTTTTAAGACATAAAATCTTACCCCTACTTTGCTTGACCTTAGCTAGAATGTGAAAATATTTAGTGTTCCAATCTCCGTATTTTCTCCAATCTACTCCTGCCTTTTGCGCCCACTTAATACGCTCAATTTTAAGCAAGTCATTAAGTTGAGTTAAAAGCGTTTTTTTCTAAATTAATTAGGAAGGATGAGTATTTTAAACTGAGTACTTTTTGGATACCATGGATTCTTGCAATAACACGATTTTTATTTTGCAAATGCTCATTAAAAACCGACTTTGACCTCATTAACAAACCAAAGCTTAGATTCACCAAAATTATTACCCTTTTCCCACGAATTTTTAAAAAAATTATCGAAGCTAGGGTTTTCAATCCAAGCCTCTTTACATCGGAAAGGATAGTTACCATTGTGGACAATACTACAAGTATCAACCATTATTGGGCAATGATCAGAATAAGTTCTAGGTAAATGTAATACCTGAGTATGAGGATACACCTTCAACCATTCGGCATTAGCGAGTGCTCTATCAAGTCTTTCCCTAATTAGTTCCGTTCCTTCCCTCCCATTATTCCAAGTGAAGGCAGGACCACTGTATCATTACGAGTATTATCTTATTTTTCTTGTTTGATAGGGGCCAATTTTATTGTTATTTTTCTCTCATTAACCCCACTTCCTATTTTTCTTTTTTAGCATTTTAGTTAAAGTTCTCTTTGGCCTCTACCTTTCCTTAAACTTTGTTCCAAGTTCATATTCTTAACTATCAATATCAAGGTTGGCTTAGCAATTGAAGGCCCTTCTTTCAACTAAAGGTCTGTTCTGATATGATTATTTTCAATTCAGTTCAGTTCAGTTCAGCACTAATAAGTTCAGTTGCGTTCAATTCAATTCAGCTCTAATAAGTTCAGTTCAATTCAATTCAGTTCAGCTCCTTATTTCCTTCTCTTATAAAATATTCAGTTCAGCTCTAATAAATTCAATTCAAATCAGTTCAATCAATGAGAACAGGCCCTAAGTGAGAGGAGTTTGATTTTCAATTACACAAATAAGATCCATAATTTCCCCTTCTCTACATTTAAAAAGTTTATATTCTTAAAAAAATATTTATTTACTTATTTATACTCATTAATAATTGACTACTTTTAAAATACTTATGAATCTATTGACAAAAACAAAAATTAGCAACCTCACTAATTCTCTAATATATTCACAATTCTCTAATGTATTCACAATTCTCTAATTTCTTCACAACTATTTAAGTGGCAATATCACTATTTCTCTAATTTATGCACAATTCTCTAATTTAATCATGAGGAGGTTTTGTGTGAGTTCGTTTCACGTGAGTCCAGTTTGTAACACACTCCCCTTATCACAAACCGCAACCCCTGTGGCCACACACAACCCGAAATCAGCCACTCCTTCCTCCACGTTGGTGATGATGCCGCCATCTCCGACCTACCCACTGCCATCACCCTCCCTCTTCCCCCTAAATTATGAATGTGTTTGCTACTATTCATAGAATGGCAAACGAAATGGAGTTCCCATCACAAACGAAACATTAATAGAGATGAAAGAATATCAAGATAAAAATGGCCGAGCTAAAGCAGCAATGTTTCTGAAGAACACTGATGGTAAGGATGTGAGTGCTCACAACTTCGCCGCAAAGCTGGTTGATCGTTGTGGTAGTAGCGTAGTAGCGTTGCTACTAAGTGTATGATTTACAATGCAACTGGAGGTCCTATTACATTGGAAAACTCCGCCATTGATGCAACACCTTCATCACCAGGAAAATTTGTCTAATATCTAATTAATATTGTCTAATATTTGATCAATATTGTCTAATATCTGATCAATATTGCCTAATTTCTGATCAATATTGTCTAATTTCTGACAATTAAAACCCGAAAAAATACAATTAGAAATAAGCTTTTGTTAGTCACGAATAAGTTAATTTTCGTCAGGAATTAGATATTTTTTGTCAGGAATAAAATCATTCTAGTCAGGAATAAGTTAATTTTCGTCAGAAATTGAATATTTTCTGTTTGTATGATCGGACTCACGTGAGTCCGTTCTACACAATACTTTACGTTTAATCATAATTCTCTAAATTATGCACAACTAATTAAGTGTAATCACAATTCTCTAATTTATTCACAATTCTCTAATTTATTCACAACTAATTAGTAGCAAGGTCACTAATTCTCTAATATATTCACAATTACCCATTAAAACAACCTAAAATTACTCATTAAAACATACCAAAATTCAACTAATTAAGTAACATTTTTACTAATCTCTATTATATTCAAAATTACTCATTAAATCAACCTCAAAATAACCCATTAAAACATACAAAATTTTCAACTAAGGAACAAGGTCATTAATTTATCTATTTATTATTTTTCTTTGAACCGATTTGGTTCACTTTTTTTTTTCATTTGTTAATTTGTTTTGTAATGTTTTTTTTTAAAAAAAAAAATTTCTTATATATATATTTTTTTTAAAATAAACCAAAAAAATACAAATATTTATTAGCTATATATATATAGCTTATTACTACGTATTTTAGAGGGATATGCATAATTTAAATATACTATTAGCTTGAATTTGGAGCTTGATTTGGGTGCCTTATTTTCAATCTTTTAGTAGAAGCTTTGATGTTCGCTGTTTTCGGAGAAAATAAAATGATTCTATGTTTATAGCTGTATTGCCTGTATAACTCTACTTATTTTATATTCAAGACTTGATTGTTTCTACTTGCTTTTTAAATTTTAGGCTTTTATCTTATTCTAATGCACCTTTTTCTCATGTAAGGGCCTGTTCTCATTGACTGAACTGAACTGAACTGAATATTTTATAAGAGAAGGAAATTAGGAGCTGAATTGAACTGAAATGAATTTCAACGTAAAAAAAACAGGCCCTAAGTCCATTAAAAACTTTGGGCCTTAAGACCTTAATATATTTTTATCTTTATTTGTTATTTTTTTTGTTGTTGTTGACCGGAAGTTTGGATCAATTTCGACTGATTGTTTATTTTGTGTAACTTTTTTAAAAATTGAGAATTGTTGCAAATATACTATTTTTTGAAACCATGTTGCAAATATACTATGTTGAATGTTATTGTTCAAAATAATGGGATATTTTAAAATATGGCATTATGATTTCCCAAAGAAAAACAAAAAACAAAAATTTAAATATTTTTCTAAATAAAACCAGATTTTTTTTTTTAAAAAAAAACCCATAAAGTGAACCAAACCAGTTCAAAGAATATAAGAAATAGAAAAATTCCTTCCAAGTTAGTAAATTAGCTAGTTTGGGAGTTAAAATCTATAATTAGCTTGCCGTTTTGGTAAATACTTTTGTAAAATTAACCATTTTCGTAAAATATCCCATTCAACCGTTAAACTAATAGATTAGAGAGGTGGGGTTATGTGGAGGCCTATGACAATCATGTATTGGCACGATCAAGAAAATGTATCCGTTTTGTCAAAAAAAAGGGAAATTCTCTTTGGTAGACCTCTATTATCAAAAATTCTCAGTGGTAAAAAGCCAAAAAACTTATTATCCTTGGTGAACTATGTTTTAAAAAGTTTAATCTATGGTAACACTAAGCAAGGTTATTAGGTATATTGGTGTAACTATGGTTAACTAAAAGATGTAATTACTAATTTGACCCTAATGACAAAATTTCCCTCCTAATCGATTTCCCTCCAAATCGATTTCCCTTTCCCCTATTTATGAAATCGATTTCCCCAAATCTTATGAACCCTAAGTTTCACGATTTCCCCAAATTCTCGATCTTTAGGCAATGAAGAACAGTCGTTCATCTTCTTCAATGAAGCCAATAACCATGGATGATAGGATTGCTTGGGTTAAGCATATGCGTTGCGGTTGTGTTCCCCCTCAAGTGGTTGCGGTGAAGATTTCAGAAACCATGAAGAACCCTAGAAGACTAATTTTCAAGTGCAGACAATGCGATTTTTTTGCTTGGTTGAAGGAGGAGGATATAATAAGGGTTGGTGATGAATTGGAAGTTGAACAAGGTGGTATTGCTGCTGTTACTTCAAGGCTGGATGATTTGGTGAATTTCATCAAAGTAATTGTGAAGATGGCTTTGATTATGTATTTTATTTTGCTGCTTGTTCTTTCTAAGTGATGAATTAGATTGATTATGAATTGCAATGTAGATGTTGGAGATGCCTTAGTTTAATGAGTGAAAACTAATGTACTTTAGTTTGTTTAATGACTTATGAATAAATAAAATTGGTACTTCTTTTGTTTGGCAGATCATATAAGTGTTTGCAATTTTTTTACTTAATAATAATGCTGATATTTCATTGATTTGCCAAAAGAAAAACATTACATCAACCCATAAGCTCAATGATTTGTCCAAAAAAAAACAGCATTTGACAATTTAAACACTTACTATTGAAGTTTGACACATACAGTCAACTAAGAAGCAAAAAATCATGCACTTTTCTGAACAACTACGTACTCCTAAGACACTATGATGCAGGCTGTGATGCTGAGATCCCTCCCTTAGATCTTTTTGACCTTGGTGAGACTCTTAGTGGTTGTGATGCTGAGATAGGTCCCTTAGCTCTGTTGTCCCTTGGTGACACTCTTAGTGTCTGTGATGCCACTGTTGCTGGTTCTGGTTGGCTCCTTTACCCTTCTTGCTTGGTGGCTTTTTGTTGGTCTGACCTGCAGAGCTTTCACCTAGGGCCACCTTTTGTTTACCAGTCAAGCCACTTTGGAAGGTTTGTGCATTATGCCCAAATTGTTGGCATTTGCTGCACTTGACAGTCCTGGACCTCTTCCCTTTGGCTTGCTCACCCTCTTCCCTCCTCCTATTCCTTGCAGGTCTGTCTATTCCTCTTTTCATAGCTGGTGGGGCAATCTCTGGATAAGGACTGTCAGGCCATTGCTCCACATCTGGTATGGACTTGATTGAGTTGCCATAAGCTAGTTTATAACTTGTCACAGAAAACCACTCACTGATGTACAACCTAGGGTCTTCATTTGAGTGCAAAATGGCCCTCATAGCATGTTTGCAAGGCAATCCAGTAAATTTCCAAGCATTACATACACATGTCTTCTCTCTTAGGTTGACTGGAAGCACAGATCTTCCATCAAGTATTTCAAATTCTCCATCTCCAGACTTCAAACTTTTGCATGTCCTAGATTCTTGGCTAATAACTTGCATCCTTTTCATGATATTAGGACACACATCATCTCTCCAATTCTCACATGCCTCTCTTCTGGTGGCCATTCTAACCATGGTGACTCTCCTAATACATGCATTGACAACAATGGTAAATAGATAAGCACTCACAGTTAACAAATTAACACTAATAAATAAGTTAAGGGAATACCTTCAAGCAGAGTAAGGACTGGTCTGCATCTATCAATGCCTAAGGTAGAATTAAAGCTTTCTACAAAGTTTGATTTGTTTGTAACACACTTCACATCTGGATTGAAAGCAATCTTTGACCATCTTGATTATGGTCCAAGTTTTGACAGCCAAACAAGAGCTAGGGGATTGGCTTTTTTCAATGCTTCCATTGCTTTTTTAAAAGTGAAGGGATTGAATGCTCCAGCAGCCTTCCAGAATAATTGGAACATCAATAAAATAGGAAATTCCACTTTGTAGTTCTTCACCAAGTGCTTGCAACAGTATCTTCTGCCTACTTTTGGCCATAATTCACTAATGGCAGGATCAATACCCTTCAGAAATAAACCAATGTATTAGTGCCTAAGTTAAACAAACATACAGAAGCAATAACAAGCATATTAGGGGCATATGAATATACCTTTTGTCTGTCACTTATTATGCACCAATTATCACCCCTGCCACTTGGTTGTAAAGCATTCTTCAAGTGATACAGAAAGAACTTCCAGCTGTCAGCATCTTCAGCTCCTACTATTGCCCATGTTATAGGAAATATCTCATTATTTCCATCAAGAGCTACTGCAGACAATAAGTCCCCACCATAGTTGCCCTTGAGATGAGATCCATCCATTCCAATTAAGCTTCTGCATCCAGCACTCAACCCATATATGGAAGCCTTAAATGCAATGAATATGCTACTGAACACCATGGGCCTGTCAGGTCTTACATTCTTCCATGCACAGTGTGCTAATGAATTAGGATTTAGCTGCTTGATTACATCACAGTACATAGGTAAATCCTTGAAAGAGACATCATGGCCACCATGAATCTCAACTAATGCCTTAGTCCTGACCCTGTACAGTGTGCTTTGTGCCATATTGACACCATACCTTTTCCAAAGTAACTCATTCAATGCCTTAGCAGGAACATCATTGTTTGCCCTTATATCTTCAAGTAAGACTCTCTTAGCCCACTTCACATTAACCGTACTATTTCTTGTCTCCAGTCCTGCACATGTATGCTCTTGGCTTTGTATACTTTTAATTACCCAAGTGCACTGATCTGGAAGAACAGATGCATGTAATCTCCAGCCACAGTTCACATCAGAGCATCTACAACAATACCTCTTATTGCTAGCCCACTCAACAACTACTACAAATCCACACTGGATGCAGTAATCCCTCACAACATCCCTGAGATGTTGCTTGTCCATGAACAGCTGCCATGGCTTGAGAACTATTTTCCCAAAGCCCTCATCCTTATACACCTCTCCATTGTTATATAACTTGTTAAGTAGTTGTCATGTTCATTGTCACACTCAAAAATTTCATCCTCAAAAGGATCATAACTGTCTTCAATAATTGGCCTATACTCATCCCTAGCCAAGTCATCTTCAGAATCTAAACTCACATTTTCTGACCCATCACTCATGTCTTCATCAGAAACCCCTCTACTAGGACTGTAGCCATCATCTTCAATGTCACCCTCATCACCAACTAAAGCCAGACCATCAGTATCATTGTCTTCACCTAAGCTAATAGTAACCTCCCTTCTCCTATTCTGATCCCCATTTTGTTGTTCACTATCCCCCCCACTTGTACTTGTGCTAATCACAATCCCTTTTCTCTTAGCAGTAGTTCTAGGCACTCTCTTTTGAAAAAAGGCAGACACTCTTGATGAATTAGATGACTGCTTCTCACCTGAGTTACCCCTAGGTCCAAACTCACCAATATTTTGCAAAGGAGGTATCAATGACTGTGTAGATGGTTGGGCTTGGGTGTTTTGTGTGATGATATCATGGGGCACTTGGTATTGAGTTTCATTTGGGTCAGCAATTTGATCCTCTTCATGAGGTTGATTTTGATGGTCAGTTTGCCATGGTGTTGGGGAAATGTTGAACCAATTCTCCAAGGTATTCCCTCTTCCCCTCCCTGAAGATCTACCTCTCCCTCTACTCCTACCCCTGCCTCTCCCTCTCTCAGATGTTCTCCCTCTCCCTCTCCCTCTCCCTCTTTGATTCCCTCTCCCCCTCCCACTACCCTTAGGTTGAGGGTTTGCTTCCCCCTCTGCTTCTAACTCAGCTTCTAACTCATCCCATGTTTGATCTGGATCATAATTTAAATGCACAAGACCAGTCACCTTGTTTGACTGTCCTATAGCCTTCACATGTCTATCAAAGTCAGCCTTGCTAACTACTAAAGCTTCCACATTCTTAGATTGCTTATTCTTCCTAGGTGTGACTTTTTTAGTATTTTTATTTGATGGTTCAGCCACTACCTTAGCTAAGGCTAAGGCTAAGGCTTGAAGCCACATTGACTCATTGAGTGTATATAGAGCTTGGCAAGTTGCCATGAATTAACCTCACCCTAGAAAAAGCTGCTTTAAGCTTAACACGGCACAATTATTCAAGATTTAAGCTTTTACACGACACAATTATTCAAGAGACAAATAGGATCGTGATTCATGCACAACGCCCCTATTCAACGTGTTTCATACAACTATACTATACGGAAATTTGCTTCTACTTATCGTCACAAATAATTTTAAGTGGTGCTCTCAATATTGTTACTCCATTTCATTATTTGGTTATCAATTATTATTATTATATTGGAAAATATACAAGATTGGAGATCATGGTATTTCAATTATTTATTTACTAGTTTTTACCCGTGCAATGTCCGGGTTGTTTATTAAATTTTAAGATATATTTTAATCTATATGTCAAATTTTAAAATATATTATTGATACAAAATTAGTTATCAATTGACGTATTTTTGTAACGATTTAAACTTGTAGACATGTAATGACTAATAATAATAATATTGGTGAAAAACATTTCTTGACCCTGTCTGAAATGACTCGTGACCCGACCTGATTAACAGGTCTGCACACAATAATAAAATTATATTAGATTGTGAAGTATATTATTTTAATTGATTAGAATATATTATAACCCATGGATGTGGTACATTTTGAACTAATTCCTTCGCTCTAAAAAAATATTATGATACAAAAAATAAATTTATATGATAATTTATGAGAGTTATAATCTAATTATTTTTTGAATAAAATTACAATTTAATTTGTACATATGAAATATTGGTACTTTATCAAAAATAAAACTCTAAATTAACAATTTTATCCTAAAATTATATCCAAAGTTGATTGAAAATAAAATTCTAAACTAACTTTTTTATCCTACAAATTAAATTTTATATAACTCTATCCTACGTGGCAAGACACTTGGCAAAAAGTTGAAACGCCAAGTGTCGCTGTCTCGTCACTTGGCTACAAGTTTAGCTTTATATATTAGTTATATGATTTGTCATAGAAAAATTAGCTAATACAGTGTACTCGTATTTTATAAAGGAATACTGATAGTGAGATAAATTGAAGTCCATTATTTTAACTCTAAAGGATATAAATATATAATAGCTTTGTTTTCAAAGTAAATGCAACAATTCCATTAAAAAATAAAAATTAAAAAATAAACGCAACAATTCAATATCCTTTAGTTTAAAACATGTAAAACTAATAATCCGCGTATTGAAACTATACATTGATATAATTCAAAGAAGATCTTGTCTTCTACAGACTTACTTATATATTAAACCAACCGTTAACTTAATTTTAGATTTTTACATGAAAAAAATAAGACATACATCATCCGTTTCTATTAAGTCGACGCATTCAAATTAGCCACACGTGAGCGAGAAGAGATAATGAGAAAGAGTAATAAAGCAAGTGGGATATACTTAAAAAATAAGGTATAGAACTTTGCTAAAAAAGAAACGTGTCAACTAAAAATAAACTTTTTAAAGAGCTATATGTGTCAAGTACGAGTAAAAATAAACTTCCAAAAAAAGGAATATATGTCAAGTTTGATTTTATACAAGTTTTATACTTTAATCAACATGAAACACAAATTGTGTGGAGGAAAATAAATCAAAGAATATAACACAAAAGTGGAATCACATATTCACATGGATCGCTAAAAAACCAAAGTTAGATCTCGAAGGTAGTATAATTTGTTATATACACCCGGCTGTAACCTGACTAATTTAAGGTTAATTTTTGCTCTTTATTTGATGATAAAATGAAAAACAATCTCATGGGTGTAGAGTACACCAGGTTGTATATACTCCATAACAACCTCTCCAAAGGTAGAGGTGTCAAAATAGATAAGATCCAACCAGATTTACTCTCTCTGTTTCATAATAATGACAACACTTGAATGGTACAAAATTTTAGAAATTTATAAGGTGGGGACCGAAAGATGAAAATATAAAGTATGATTAGTTCGTAAATTTGATTGTTAGTTAGGTAAAAATATTTTGGTAGTGGAAAAAAAGTAAGAGAGAGAGGTAAAAATACAAAATTGTCTATTTGACATATTAATAAACTAAAAAGTAAGTGTGAAAAAACAAGGGTATATTGGGTATTTATAGTATGAACACAAATAATTTTTTTTCCTAAAAAGGAAATGGTGCAATATTTGTGAAACTTCCTAAAAGGCAAGTGGGCAATAATAAAATAACGGAGAAAGTAATACCAATTAGATGTTGGAGTAGTGGTGATTGAGACTACACTTGGTGAAGGAATCGAACTGGCAAAGAACACATGTTCGATTCCCCACAACAACAATTGGGAGAGGACTATAAAAAAATTATATGTCCGTGCTCGGTACATATCATTATTACTAGTAAATCCACAAACAAAACCAACCTTCCTTTCACCATTACATTTTTCTCTCATCAATGTCGGTCGACGCCAAACCACCACTACATAAAGTCCTCATAATCAAACCACCACCAGCCTTTACCATCCACGAATCCGAATTCTCCCAACACTTCCACTTCATCAAAGCTTCCGATTCACCTCTTCCGCTCCCAAACTTCCTCGCCGCCGCAAACTCCGCCGGAATCACCGCCTTACTCGCCAGTGGACACGTCCCTCTGAATGCACGTGACGTCTTCGATTACATCCCAAACCTCCGTTGCATCGTCACCACCACTGCTGGACTTAATCAGATCGACCTCCCGGAGTGTCGCCGCCGTGGTATCGCCGTCGCTTCCGCCGGAGATTCTTACTCCGTTGACTGCGCTGATCATGCGGTGGCTCTTTTGATTGATGTTCTTCGGAAAGTAACTGCCGGTGATGGGTTTTTGCGAAGAGGTGGTTGGACTGATAAGAGGGAATATTGCTTGGGTAATCGGGTAATTTCATCTTTTTAACTTTGATTCCTCTTTCTGTATTCTTTTTTACTGTGAATTGTGATTATTATTCACTTGCTCCATATGATGATTGTTGATACATAGAATTATAAAAAATGGATGATTATTGATACATAAATAATTGTGTAAAAAAAATATGTTTTGCATAAATAATTGACTTTGGTCTTTGGGATGTTTGGAACTAATATTATAAAAAAATGAATGATGGATGATTATTGACTAACGATTATAATATGATGATTGTTGATACATAGAATTATAACTAAACTAATTAGAGCCGAAGTGAAATGAAATAAATTGAAATGATTGGAGCTGAATTGAACTGAACTGAATGAGCTAAGCTGAAATGAATATTATATGAGAGTGGGAAATTAGGAGCTGAAATGAACCGACTTCATTGGAGCTGAAATGAACTGAACTGATTAGAGCTGAACTGAAGTGAAATTAAGTAAATGTGAATAAACCCTAAATGTTTAGTGATTATTTGTACTACATAATTAATACAGAGTAATAGCTAATTTTGACGACTAATTTTAGTTATTTTACCTAATATTAGTACTTGGTATTAATAATTTGACTAGATTGATCATTCATGTACGTACTCTTTGCAACTCTCATGTGTCCGGAAGTAAGCTACTTATAGAATAATTGAAATTTGAAAGTAATACTTGCACATTATAGTCTTCTTCACTCTTCATACTCTATTATTTGTGATTTGCCCCTAGGATTTACAAGTTTACTGAATTAATTATAAATCCAAAAGATAACAAAGTTATACTAGGTAGATTTAATAATTATTGGCTCATTGCACAACTCTAAACTGTAACAAACCCTCTATTATATAAATAAAAGCAACATTGTCACATACTCACATAATAGAGATTAAGTCCCATCCCACAAAATATCATCTTTATCAATATCCCAATGGAGATCACTGGAAAACTTCAGCCGGAAAATCTTCCTAAGGTCCTTATTCTCAATCCATGACATTTCTTCTTTCTTTTCGAGGCCGAATTTTCTAAGCAATGTTACTTCATTAAGGCCTATGACTCCCCTCTTTCCCTGCCTGAATACCTTGCTGCTACAAACTCCTCTGGTGTCACCGCCATGCTCATTGGTGGCCACGTTCCCATTACCGCTGCTGACGTACTCGATCACCTTCCTAACCTCCGTTTATTAGTTATTACCATCATAGCTGGCCTCAACCATATTGACCTTGAAGAGAGTGGTCACCGTGGTATTGCTGTATCCTATGCTGATGATGCTTACTCTGATGATTGTGCTGACTTTGCAGTAGCTCTTTTTATCAATCATCTTCATAAGGTGTCTGCTGGTGATCGGTTTGTGCGACGAGGTGATTGGTGTTCTACTGATGGACTGTATTGTTTGGGTCATAGGGTAATATCATCTTATCTAACACTTTTTGTCTGCAATTCATACATTTTAAAAGTCAAGGCATTTGCAAAAAAACTCCTACAGTCCTGCATACATTTTTTGTTTGTAGAATATATTATATATATCGAGATGAATCAAATAAGATAGCACGCTATTTGAATTTTCATGTATATTTTTGAAGTATCTGAGATTCTTAGCTTGTTGTGTTGCATATATTAACTACAATTAAACATGCAGTTAAAAGGGAAGAAGATAGGAGTTGTCGGGTTGGGAAGCATAGGCTGTAGAATTGCAAAAAGATTGGAGGCTCTTGGCTGCAAAATTCTGTACAACTCAAGAAAAGAGAAACCATCTGTTTCATACCCTTACTACTCAGATATTCACGAGTTAGCAGCTAACAGTGATGCCCTGGTTTTAAGTTGTGCCTTAACTGATGAAACCAGGCATATGATAAACAAAGAAGTGCTAACAGCATTAGGGAAGGAAGGTGTCATCATTAATATTGCTCGAGGGCCTATAATAGACGAAAATGAACTGGTGAGGTTTTTAGTTGAAGGTAAGATAGCTGGTGCTGGATTGGATGTTTTTGAGAAAGAGCCTAATGTGCCGAAAGAGCTGCTTGCAATGGACAATGTTGTTCTGTCACCTCATGCAGCCTATTTAACTCACGAGTCATTTCGTGATGTTTTTGAGTTTGCGAAAGGAAATCTCCAAGCTTTCTTTTCAAACAAACCATTACTTTCTCCGGTCATGGATGGATGATTCCTAAGAGGCTAAGACCTTGTTTCACGGGTCATACTCTAGCCAAATACATAAGGTTCTTCCTCTGTTAGTAGGATATGAAGGTGGTAGAGAGGTCATGAAAATATTTTGTCATAAAATCAAGAGTCTTGAATAACAACCTCAGCATTACAAGTCTAGCTAATTTCTGAGTTTGAAGCCTGCACGCTCTGCTTTCGCAGAGAAAGAAATGTATGTGAAGCAGGGGAGTAAGTTGTTTTCAAGGTTCAAATTTGGATTGCTGGAGTTTTAATTATATTTGAATGCTCTATGTTCAACCAAACAACCATATTCCTAAGTATGTTTATTAGATTGCTGTTGAAAGTCAGAAATGCATGTTAAATCGCTGAAGTTTTATTCTGAGTTTTTGTTGGATTGTTGCTACTTGCTAGATTAAAATAAATGCTGCAAGCAATACAAAGTGAGTCTTAAATGATGTAAAGCTGCAGGTAAAGCAATTAAAACTTATCTTGGTATGAAAGACTTTTTTTTTTCCCCCTGCATTTTAACACCTACCATTGCCTAAAATTTCACCAGTCTCTAATGACGGAATATTTGAAATTAACACCAAGAAATTTTTTTGACACTCCATAAATTGAATTTTACACTCTCAAACACATAGTGCGGTTTTAAATGTTCTATTGTCTATTCACAAGAAGTGCCTAAACTAGTTTCCATAGCTTTAATATCTTCTTTGATTGAGAACATGATTGTGATTTAATCAGAGATTGATGTCCTTTTAAGACATCAACGTTTTTTTTGTTTTTTTTGAAAGACATAAGACATCAACATTATCTCACTTCTATTGACCAATTATGAAACAATTACTTCATCTGTTCTTTTTTACTTGACCTGTTTCTTTTATCATGTTTGTCAATGCAAAACTTTAACGATCAATAACTTAAATTCTCCATAAGTAAAAATTATAAAAGTTATATATTATGATAGTACTTATCGAGACGAATCCAAAAAAATCATACATGAATATATTTTTTCTTACATATTATTCACAAAAGACGGTCAAAGGAGGAGTGGTGAATACTGTAAAAGTCAAAGCAGGTCAAGTAATAAAAAACGGAGGAAGTATCTAACATGTAAGCAGCCATTATCATATTAAGGTGTCCACAATTTTAGTGAATCAAATGTACTTTGTATAACATACTCTTGTACAAGCCACTTCATATTTCATAGTCATTATGTTCACATTAATGCTCAATGGATTGCATATTAAGTGCTTGTTCTGTTCAGCTTAATTTCAATTCATTTCATATTCTATGTACTAATTTCCTTCTGTCATAAACAATTCATTTTAGTTTAACTTTAACTCTTAATTTATTTCTCATTAACAATTCAGTTTAGTTCAATACTTAATTTTCTTTTCTCATAAACAATTCTATTTTGTTCAGCTCAGCTCATTTCACTAAATCAGAACATGCCCTAAGTGACAAAGTCGTAATAAAACCAACAACATACCACCTAAGAGCTAATGGTCCTAGTCTATATACAGTACTAAAGTCCAAAATGAACATCACCCTGAAACACACGTCTCACTCCCCTGCATCAATGGCGGACACAACCACCCCAAAACACAACAATTCAAACCCCAAAAACCTACCAAAAGTGCTCCTCCTAAAACCCCCACCACCAATCTACCACCGCTTCGAATCCCAATTCTCTCACCATTTCAACTTCCTCAAATCCTTCGAATCCCAACTTTCCCTCCCGGAATTCCTCGCCGCCGAGAACTCCTCCGACGATGTCACTGCCATATTCGTCACCAGCCTCGGCCCTCGAATCACCGCCGCCGACATCCTCGACCACTTACCTTCCCTCCGTTGTATTGTCACCTCCACCATTGGTGTCGACTTCATCGACCTTGACGAATGCCGCCGCCGTCGCATTTCCGTCGCTAATGCCGCCGACGTTTTCTCCACTGATTGTGCTGATTCTGCTGTTGGTCTACTAATTGACGTTCTCCGGAAGATTTCTGCCGCTGATCGTTACGTTCACCGCGGAAATTGGAGTGTTTCTGGTGCATTTCCGTTGGGTAATCGGGTAATATGCAAATTCAAAACCCTAGTTTCTTATTTGTATTCAATTGCTATTAACTTATGTTTATTAATGGCATTAAAAGTTATTATTAGATTAGTTCTTCGTATTTTATTAGGAATTGGTAGTAATTTCAGTTTAATTGATCGAATTGGAGCTAACCCTACCTGAAAATTGATATGACTAATAATCTCTGATTAATTTTATCAGCCCAGAACACTAGTTTGAACACGATGCAGATTTTAACAGAATTATACATTTGGCGCCTAATCCATGGATTTAACCTGACCCCTACTCAACTAGTCAACCTAATTGATCCAAAGTTAACTCAATTCAACCAATGTGTCTTATAAAATGATCAATTCAAACTTTACTTGTGGAAATATATTCACTTCGTTTTGATTTTTAAGTAACTGATGAATATCATAATGATTCTAATATGATCATTGTTCTTTTTCCAGTATGTATAATCTTTGAAGGGATTACCTGTCTAGTTGTCTTTGCAAATTTGTCTTGCGAATAATATATGAAGAAATGAAGGATACTTGTAAATTTAGAAAACTTGTCATATATCTTGTTAAATTACCCAACTTTTGTGTAATGTAAAAGAATAAATCATTGAACTTTGGGTTGCTAATTTGAAATTTTGGCTGGGATGCTGGGGTGTTAGAAGTGTTTGAAACAAAGTTAAATTTTCTTTTCATATCTCAGCAGACTCTCAGTTGTATAAATACAATTATACATGACTGCACAGCCAACTGCCATTCATAAGCCTACCGTTTCTTTTTGAAAGGTTGAAGAGAAGGTAGAGAACAGTAGAACCCCAACAAGTTATGCACGGTTTTCATTTACCATGTCATCTTTAATTCCATTTCACATAGCCTTCGTGTAGCTTTCATTCAAAAAATCATCCACTACAATTTTATGCATGGCTTGTATTGAGCTTTGATGGTACTCTTAATCTCTTATCACTCTAACTTTCACAACATCCTAATTAGCAAGTCACTATTTTCATCTAGCTTCACCCGTCCTTTCTTCCCTAATGTTGTTGCGGTTTGCATCATCTGGTTTCAGCTCGGATGCAGGAAGATAGGGATTGTTGGTTTGGGAAGCATTGGCTCCAGGATTGCAAAAAGACTTGCGGGTTTTAATTGCAGGATATTGTACACCTCTAGGAAAAAGAAGCCTTCTGTACCATACTCATTTTATCCAGACATCCATGAATTGGCAGCTGACAGTGATGTTCTTGTAATATGCTGTCCATTAACTGATGAAACGAGGCATATGATAAACAGGGAAGTACTATTGGCATTGGGAAAGGAAGGAGTTGTCATCAATATTTCTCGTGGGTCGGTAGTTGATGAGAAAGAGCTGGTGAAATTCTTATTGGAAGGCCAAATAGCAGGTGCTGGGCTGGACGTATTTGAGAATGAGCCTATTGTGCCGGAAGAGCTATTGGCATTAGACAACGTTGTGCTATCACCTCATCTAGCTGCTTGCACAGATGATGCCTACCATGATTTATACGAACATGTGAAAGGAAACTTGCAAGCTTTTTTCTCAAACAAGCCACTACGCTCTCCAATAGTCTGATAGGTGATTTATTTGCCATTTTCTCATGCAGGTTTGTCTTAAACTTTCCTGTAGAAGCAACAAAATTGCATTGTCTAACAAACATTGTATGGTAGAAGATTTCTCCTCTGTAGGCAACTAGGCAAGCTTGCTGGAATGTTGAAATCTGGGTTACCTAACCAAACACATGTAGTGAATGTCATGACGATATGACTTTACTGGTGGGTTCCGAATTTCCTCAATGCCTGTAACTAATTCAAAATAGCACATATGTATATTGTGGATATTATCATTATTTGATGCTCTGATTTTCACCCATGCCGTCAGAGACCTTGTAATAAGATGCTCATGGGCGGCGAATTTCTCAATTCTTTTTTGATTTCTGTCTTTCCCATTCCTTCCATAGTCAAATTCTAACAAGTGTGTGGAAATCAGCATCGATTGACTCGATACTTCTGCTATTATAAACAGAGCCTTTTGATTATCTTTAGGATGTAATATGTTGAATTATGCTTGTTTTAACTCATAGATAGAGTTGAGCGGAATAAAGATTTGATGCTTGCATTAGGTTATAGAGTAAATTCCGAGTCTATAAGCAGAATAAAACTTGATTATGCTTTTGATAATATTTCTTTTATTTTTGAACTGAGCACAAAACAAGATAGGAGAAAGAACCATCTTATTTCCATATTTCTGCAGGCAGGCCAAGGATTTAGCATTATACGGACGAGAATTTAACAGAAGTTTATTAGTATGTAGGAAGTTAGGGTCTGTTCTCTTACGTTGAAATTCAGTTCAGCTCATTTCAGTTCAGTTCAGCTCAGCTCCTAATTTCCTTCTCTTATAAAATATTCATTTTAGTTCAGCTTAATTCAGCTCCTAAAGAGTTGTTTGGATCAAAACTTTTGATTTTGAAGGGCTTCTTGGAGGATCTTATTGTTTGAAAGGGGTTTGTAACAATAGAGGCACATGTCTTTCTATTTTAAACTTTGCCAAGTTAACTACTTTATTCATATATTACCATTGTCTTAATTTAATTACAACACTGACTTTTGCGCTTAAACTATAAATTTTCTACCAGTATATAAAAATCAAATCATGTCATGTAATGTGTTTTGGCGTTAAATTTTATGGTACTTTTTTTTTTTGTTAATATATAATTACATATATTACCCGTTAAAAAAAAAAGTTACAAAAATTAATGGTCATAGTTACAAAAATTAACACATGTGTCAAACGAACTATTTTGATTAATTTGAAATTGGGGGAGTAATATATAATACTACTTCCGTTTCATATTATTTGCAACGATTTAACATAAAATGTTTGCAAATAATGAAATAATATAAAATGGAGGTAGTATTTAATAATCTTTAAGAGTTTAAGCTTACCTAAGGAAAGATAATTTGAGTGGGGGGCTTTTTTTTTTTTTTTTTTTTTTTTTTTTTTTTTGAGTGGGGGGCTTATTGAAGGTGAGTAATTAGACAAATTTGGTAATGTAATAGTGGGACATTACCTTACACTTACAAAAGAAACCTACTCGTAAGTTTGCTAAAGTTGGCTGTTTCCTTTAATCATGGGACCTGCCACTTGTGCAACTTATCTGTATCTGATATGTTTTTTGAGTGGGGCTTCTCAGTCTTTATAAGACAACAACAATCAAGCTTTAGATTACATTATAGAGCTGTCAATTCGGGTAAACGAGTTTGGGTCTTGTAAGAGTGGGTCAGGTCAATTCGGGCAGGGTTAATTCGGATTAATTCCATCACCTATGCGGGTCGGGTTTGGGTTGATCATTCTTGAGTCGGGTCATATTTCTTATCGGGTTTAGGTCGGCTTAATAACAGATCGGGTTACATTCGGGTAGGGTAAACAATAGGTCGGTTTAATTCGGGTTTTCACGGGTTAAAACGGGTTAGGGTAATTCTCGGGTTCGAGTTGGGTTTGGTTCAAGTCAATAATTTGCGGGTTAGAATCAGATCGGGTCCTTCTCGGGTTTGAGCCAGGTTCGGTTCAAGTCATTAATTTGCGGATTATAATCAGGTTGGGTCATTTTCAAGTCGGGTCATTCTCGGGTTCAAATCGGGTTCGGTTCAAATCAATGATTTGCGGGTTATAATTAGGTTGGGTTATTTCCAAGTCGGGTCATTCTCGGATTCAAGTCGTGTTATGTTCAAGTCAATAATTTGCAGGTTACAATCAGGTTGGGTCATTTCCAACTTAAGTCATATTCGGGTTCAAATAATTATAAATAGATAATTACCATTTTTATCAAGCTAATTATTTCCTTTGACTATAATATATATGGCAATATACTAGGGAACTATAGTCTATAATTTAGGAAGATAATTATCTCCTTTGACCATACAACAAATATATACTATATTTAACTCTTAAATTTGATCGAGGATGATGCTCCTTTCTTTTGCTGGCCTGGACCGACTTGGTGTCCCTAGACAAAATGCTTTGATCAACAATAATAAGGAGGTCTAAATTTCATTTAAGGTGATTTGAAATCGGGTCAGGAATAATTTGGGTTGAATTTAGGTCGGGTCAATAACAAATCGTGTTAATTTCGAGTCAAGTTAGTAACAGATGAGGTTGAATTTTTTGGTCGGGTAAGTAATAGGTCTGGTAAAATTCGGGATGGGTCAATAATAAGTCGGGTTTAATTTGGGTCAGGTCAATAACAAGTTGGGTTGATTTCGGGTCATGTTTGTAAAAGGTTGGGTTAAATTTGGGTCGGGTTATGAACGGGTCAGGTTGAATTCAGATCAGGTTAGTAACAAGTCGGGTTAAATTCGGGTTTTTACAGGTTAAAATGGGTTTGGGTCAATTTCGGTTCAAGTCGGGTTCGGTGCAAGGTAATTAAATTGGTCGTTATAAACCGGTAAATCGGTGTAAGTTGTAAACCGGTAAATTGGTCGTTTAAAGGCAAATAGGATGGTTCCACCCACCCAATTGGACTTCCAAAGGATATTAGGGACCATGATAAACATTTCGACAATTTTTATTTCAGACGAAAAAAAGTCAAAATTTTCCAAAATTGAAACCTAATGTCCATGCTTTTTGAGAAATTTTGAAAGTTTCGGGGCCCTGTGACCCGAAGTCTTAATATTTTAGGGGATACATCTAGGGGTCATATAATGTCGTTTGGAACCATATATGATCATTATATGTTGCATAGAAGTTCGTGGTAGACTTGAGTTAATGAAATCGGTGCAAGTTGTAAACCGATAAATTGGCCGTTTATATTGGATGGTTTCACCCACCCAATTGGACTCCCGGGAATATTAGGGATCATGGTAAACATTTCGGCAATTTTAATTTTTGGGCGATAAAAAGTAAAAAAATACAAAATTAAAGGCTAATATCCATACTTTTTGAGAAATTTTGGAGATTTCGAGACCCAGTGTTGAAAAGCCTTGAAATTATAGGGGATACATATCATGATCATATAATACCGTTTGGAACAATTTATGATCATTATATGTTGTTATAAATGTTCGTGCAATGGTAGGCTTGATTTAATGAAACTGGTGCAAATTATAAACCGATAAATTGGTCGTTTAAAGGCAAATTGGATGGTTGCATCCGCCCAATTGGACTCCCAAAGGATATTAGGGACCATGGTAAAAATTTCGGCAACTTTTATTTTCGAGCGATAAAAAGTCAATAAATTCCAAAATTGAAGGTTTATATCCACGCACTACAAGAAAAATCACTTTTCGTAGCGATTGTATATTCGCACAATATGCAAGTATGTTTGTGAAATAATTACGGATGTCGTATCATTTTTGCAATCGCCATGGTTTTCCCATATAAAATCGATACGGAAAACATAATGATACATATCAACACTATTTTTACACATTTATATAATTTTGAGAAATCGTATCATTTACAATCGCCACTAAATCCTAAAAATCGATACGAAAAGTCTTTTCAACACTAGATATATAAATATTATTTGACAAAGAATACATAAAATATGTCATATCTTATTGGTGAAATATTTAATATAAGAGTTTGAGGTTGCATGTTCGAATCTTGTAAAGATCATACGCATGTATTTTTTTTTTTTTGAAGAAAATGAGTTAAACATTTATAGCGATTGTAATCGCTACAATAATCACCACGATTGGATGTAGTTTTTCGTATCGATTATTGAGGCCAACCTCAACGATATTGAAAACCACTACTAAAGGCTAAGGCAACGGGAGATCTTGTATCGAATGACCATTCGTTGGGAAAGCTTTTTGTTGCAATTACAATCGATACTAAAGGTTAAAATAATCGTTACGAAAAGGTTATTTTCTTGTAGTGACGCTTTTTGAGAAATTTTGGATATTTCGCGGCACGGTGTGGAAAAGCCTTGAGATTTTAGGAATACATTTTAGGGTCATATAATGTCGTTTGGAACCATATATGATCATTATATGTTGTAATAAATGTTCGTGGTAGGCTTGAGTTAATGAAATCAGTACAAAGTTGTGAACTGGTAAATTGGTCGTTTAAAGGCAAATTGGATGGTTCCACCCAGCCAATTGGACTCCCAGAGGGTATTGAGTACCATGGTAAACATTTCGGCAATATTTTTTTCCAGGAGAAAAAGTCAAAAAATTCCAAAATTGAATGCTAATATCCACGCTTTTTGAGAAATTTTGCAGGTTTCAAGGCACGATGTCGAAAAGACTTGAGATTTTAGGGGACACATCTCGGGGTCATATAATTCCGTTTGAAACCATATATGATCATTATTTGTTGTCATAAATGTTCGTGATAGGCTTGATTTAATGAAATCAGTGCAAGTTGTAAACCGGTAAATTGGTTGTTTAATGGCAAATTGGATGGTTACACCCACCCAATTGGACTCCCGGAGGATATTAGGGATCATGGAAAACATTTCGACAATTTTATTTCAAGGCAAAAAAAAGGCAAAAAATTCCAAAATTGAAGGCTAGATCCATGTTTTTTAAGAAATTTTGGAGGTTTAATATCGAGACTCGGTGTCGAAACGTCTTGAAATTTTAACGGATACATCTCGGGGTCGTATGATGTCGTTTGGAACCATATATTATCATTATATGTTGTCATAAATGTTCGTGATAAGCTTGATTTAATGAAATTGGTGCAAGTTGTAAACCGGTAAATTAGCCGTTTAAAGGCAAATGGGATGGTTCCACCCACCCAATTAGCCTCCAGGAGGGTATTAAGGACCATGAAAAACATTTCGGCAATTTTTAAATCTGAGCGAAAATCAAGTCAAAAATTCCAAAATTAAAGACTAATATCCACATTTTTGAGAAATTTTGGAGGTTTCAGGCCCCGGTGTCTAAAAGTGTTGAAATTTTAGGAGATACATCTCGGGATGATATAATTCCATTTGGAACCATATATGATCATTTTATGTTGTCATAAATATTCGTGGTAGGCTTGATTTAATAAAATCGGTGCAAGTTGTAAACCGGTAAATTGACCAAT